CAAGGGAAGCGCTCTACCACTGAGCCACCTTCCCAGTCCTTCTTTTCTTTTCTTTTTTTTTTTTGTTGGTTGTGGGGCTTGAACTCTGGGCTTGGGTGCTGTCCCTCAGCAATTCAACTCTCAAGGCTAGCATTCTACTACTTGAGCCACATCACCACTTCCAGTTTTCTAAGTGGTTAATTGGAGATAAGCCTTTCCTGCCCAGGCTGGCTTTGAACTGTGATCCTCAGATCTCAGCCTCCTGAATGAGTAGGATTACAGGCATGAACCACCAAAGCCTGGATTCCTTGAGCTCTTTTGCTCAAGGCTAGCACTTTATTTCTATATTCCATTTCCAGTTTTCAGTGATTCAGTGATGATAAGAGTCTCATGAACTTTTCTTGCTTGGGCTGGCTTTGAACCACGATTCTCCTATCTCAGCCTCCTAAGTAGCTAGGATTACAGGCATGAGCCACTAATGCCCAGCTCTATTTTTTTTTTTTAATTATTTTTTTGGGTCTGGTAGTGGGGCCTGAACTCTGGGCCTGGGTGCTGTCCCTCAGCTCTTCAGCTCAAGGCTAGCACTCTACCACTTGAGCCACAACGCCACTTGCAGCTTTTTCTGTTTATGTGGTACTGAGGAATCGAATCCAGGGCCTCAGGCATGCAAGGCAAGCATTCTACCACTAAGCCACCTTCCCAGCCCCGACTCTATGAATTTTTATACCCTAGATGTCTCATGTAAGTGGAAGCATATAGTACTTCCTTTCAGTATAAATATTATCTACTTGAAATCATGACAACAAGGTTAATTTTGTTGAAGCTTGGACCAGAATTTCTTTTCTTGTTACTGCTAAACAATATTTCATTGTATGTATACACTGCATTTTGTTTATCCATTCATCTGTTGTTAGACATATGGGTTATTTCTGCTTTTTACTATTGCGGATAGAGCTTCTGTAAACATCAATATGCTTTTTTTTTTTTCTTAAACATCTTTTCAGATTTGAGGTAAACGCTTAGGAGAATTGCTGGGTCACATGATAATACTATGATTAATTTACTGACATGCTGCTAACCTGTTTTCCACAGCATAGGTAATATACAGCCCTGATATAAGGATTTCAATTTCTCCACATCCCTGCTAACACTTGTTATTTACCATTAAAAAATGTATATATTGTAAGCTGGGTGCAGTGGCTCAAGCCTGTAATATTAGCTACTTGGGAGGTAGAAATATGGGAATTGTGGTTTGAGCCCAGGCCAAGCATAGAAGTTTGAGAGAGCCAGGTGCCAGTGGCTCAGGCCTGATATCCTCACTACTCAGGAAATTGAGGACTGAGGATCATGATTTAAAGCCAGCCCAGGCAGGAAAGTCCATGAGACTCTTATCTCCAATTAACTATGAAAAAGCTGGAAACTTTGGTTCAAGTGTTGAGCATTAGCCTAAACAAAAGAGCTCAGGGGCAGTGCCCAGGCATTAGTACTGTCATGAGAGAGAGAGGGAAAGAGAAAGGTAGAGAGGGCGAGAGAGAGAGAGAGAGAGAGAGAACATTATGCTAAATGCAGCTATAAGTGAAGCTAGCCAGTTACAAATGGACAAGTATTTTTAGTCAGCTTGTATAAAATTGCTTTTCTAGGAAAATTTTATCTACAAAGTAGACAAAAGTGTTTAGGATAAAGTTTAAGGAAGCATGAGGGGTTATTATTGTTCAGTAGTTACAAGATTTCTTTCTGGGGTGATGAAATAATATGTTTTACCACAAGTTAGAAAAAAAACTAAGAAAAAGAAAAAAAAAAAGAATCAAGTAGCTCCTGATCTCAGCTACTCAGGAAACAAAGATGTAGAGGATCTCACAGTTTGAGGCTATCCTGGATAAAAACTCATAGAAACCCCATCTAAACCAATAGCTGGGTGTGGTGGCATATGCCTCTCATCACAGCTATATGGGAAGTATATGGAAGTACAGGCCAGCTGGGGCACACATACCCCATACCCAATAATAACCATACCCCAGAAATAACTAAAGCAACGTGGGTTGAGTGTGGCCCAAATGGTAGAGTACCTGCCTAGCAAGTACAAAGCTCTGAGTTCAACTCGGAGGACTACAAACAACAAACAACATAAAACCACCACCAATGATACCTTTCCTGCCAGTAAGGGGATTTGAACTTTTTATTTCCTGTCCTGGGGCTTGAACTCAGAGTCAGGGCGCTGTCCCTGAGCTTCTTTTGCTCAAGGCTAGCACTCTACTACTTGAGCCACAGTGTCAATTTCAGCTTTTTCTTTTTTTTTTTGGGTCCGGTCGTGGGGCCTGAACTCTGGGCCTGGGCACTGTCCCTCAGCTCTTCAGCTCAAGGCTAGCGCTCTACCACTTGAGCCACAGCGCCACCCCGGCTTTTTTCTTTTTGCTTATGTGGTGCTGAGGAATCGAACCCAGGGCCTCAGGCATGCAAGGCAAGCGCTCTACCACTGAGCCATCTTCCCAACCCCAATATCGGCTTTTTCTGAGTAGTTTATTGGAGATAAGAGTCTCAAGGACTTTTCTGCCTGGCCTAGCTTCAAATCTCAACCCTCAGATCTCAGCCTCCTGAGTAGCTAGGATTATAAGCGAGAGCCACCAGTGCTGGCTAGATTACAACATTTTTAAGAAAAAGAAAAGAAAGTTGCCAGGTATGGTGTAATTGCAGCCCCTAGGGAGATAGAGACAAGAAGACTATGGTTCGAGGGCAGTTTGGGCAAAAGTCAGTGAGATTCTGTCTCAAAAACAAGGCTATAACCAAGGCCTAGTGATTCATATCTGTAATCCTGACTACTCAGATGGTTGAGATCTGTGGATCAAGGTTCAAAATCAGTGGTTATAGAAAAGTCTGTAAGACTTTTTTTTTTTTTTTTGGTCAGTCATGGGGCTTGAACTCTGGGATTGGGTGCTATCCCTGTGCTCTTCAGCTCAAGGTGAGCGCTCTACCGCTTGAGCCATAGCACCACATCCGGTTTTCTGGTGGTTAATTGGAGATAAGAATCTCACAGACTTTTCTGCCTGGGCTGGCTTTGAACCGTGATCCTCAGATCTCAGCCTCCTGAGTAGCTAGGATTATAGGCATGAGCCACTGGTGCCCGGCCTCTGTAAGACTCTTATCTCTAATTAACCAGCAAAAGGCCAGAAGTGAAGGTATGGCTCAAGCGGTAAGAACACCAGCTGTGAGAAAAAACAAAAACAAAAACAAGCACTAGTAAGAAGTACTGAGTTCAAGTCTCACCAGTGCCAAAAAAAAAAAGCCAGCCACCAGTGGCCCTCACATCTATAACCTTAGCTACTCAGAGGCTGGAATCTGAGAATCACATTTCACAGCTAGCCAAGTAGAACAATCCTGAGACTTATCTCAAAAAACCCAGAAGAAGAGGCATTGCTCCCTGAGTAAAGAAACTGAGAGGACTGGGGATGTGGCTTAGTGGTAGAGTGCTTGCCTAGCATGTATGAAGCCCTGGGTTCAATGTCTCAGTACCACAGAAACAGAAAAAGTGGTAAGTGGCACTGTGGCTCAAGTGCTTGAGCAAAAGGAGCTCAGGCATAGTGCCTAGACATGAGTTCAAGCCCCAGGACTGGAAAAAAAAAAAAAAGCCGAGTTCCCAGATGTGGAGAGCGTGTGAGTTACATTTTTCTAATGATTAGTGCATGTGAAGCATTTTTTGTTTTTGTTTTTTTTTTTTGGTCTGGTCCTGGGGCCTGAACTCTGGGCCTGGGCGCTGTCCCTCAGCTCTTCAGCTCAAGGCTAGCGCTCTACCACTTGAGCCACAGCGCCACTTCTGGCTTTTTTTTTTTTCTGCTTATGTGGTGCTGAGGAATCGAACCCAGGGCCTCATGCATGCAAGGCAAGCACTCTACCACTGAGCCACCTTCCCAGCCCCTCTGGCTTTTTTCTTATGTGGTGCTGAGGAATCGAACCCAGGGCCTCAGGCATGCAAGGCAAGCGCTCTACCACTGAGCCACCTTCCCAGCCCGCATTTTTTTTTTTTAATATATCTAGTCAGGTTCTTAGTTTTGTTAGATTCTCTTGGCTTTTGTTATTATTAAGTTACTAATATGTTCTGTGTAATAACACTTTATCAGAGAGATACATAATTTTTACATATTTCCTCCAATTATGTGGGCTGCCTGTTGTGTTCTTCCATGCATGGAAAATATTTATTTCCCCCACTTAAAGGTCATGACACCCTTATAGGTTTTGTGGTGTAAACTGTCATGGGTTATGGTATAGAAAAGACATGGTCTCTCTCTCTCTCTCTCTCTCTCCTAGACATAGTGGCTTAGCCCTGTAATCCTAGCTACTCAGAAGGCTGCTGTGGTGTGCAGGATTTCAGTTGGCTCAACACTAGCCAGGGCAAACCAGTGAAAACTGGGGTGGTGGTATGCATGTGTTATCCCACTTAGGAGGTCAATAGGAGACTCAAGATCTAGGCTTAGCTGGGAATAATTGCAAAAAGGGTTGAGGAGGCGTGGCTCTAGTGACTGGCCTAGCAAGTGCAAAGTCCCGAGTTGAAACCCCCAGTGCTACCACTACCAAAACCCAAACCAAAACAACAACAAAAATATGGTATAAATCTTAAGAAAGTGATCGTGGAGGGCTGAAAAGGTGGCTCAGTGGTAGAGTGCTTGCCTTGCATGCATGAAGCCCGGGGTTTGAGTCCTCAGGACCACATAAGCAGAAAAAGCTGCAAGCAGCCTGTGGCTCAAGGTAAAGCGCTAGCCTTGAGCTGAAGCGCTGAGGGTCAGCGCCCAGGCCCAGAGACAGTGTGTTAGTGTGTGTGCCCCGATCGATCCTGAGGCTTTGAACCCAAGGCCCAAGTGCTGTCCCTGAGTTGTTTTTGTTTTCTGCACTGTATCACTTTGGGCCACAGTTCCACTTCCGGCTTTCAGGTGGTTCACTGGAAGCTCAGCAGTTAAGGACTGCCCGGGCTAGCTTTGAACCCTGATCTTCAGATTTCAGCCTCCAGAGTAGTTAAGATTTACAAGAGTGAGCCACAGGCGCCCGGCAGACTGCTCCTTTCAACAGAGTATGGCCTAGGCAGGGGCACCTGCAGACCGGATTTGAACTCGAGAGTTCCTGGCTCTCCGAGCGGGCTATTTCGGGTAAGATGATCTCATCTCTGATCCTGTGCATTTTAGGGAGTCATAAAGACCGGGACCTGGGTCCAAGGTGTAGCTAAGTGAGCCTTCTTTTGGATGCAGAACAGCGGGGAGGCAACCCGGCCGGGGAGCACAGATTCCGCCAGCCCGAGCGAGCGCCACGCCACCGGGGCGGACCCCGATCCCTGCCCCGCGATCTGGGCGCGGCTGGGCCGTGCTATTGGGCGCAGGTGGGAGACGAATAACTGAATACGGGGAGACGGGTCTCCCATTGACACCCTCCCAGCGTGTCGCTGAAGAGCGACCGGGGGAATTTGCAGTGTAGCTAGCACGCATGGCCTGGCTTTCCTTGGTTTCCTCGCCACTTCTGGAGTTTGCTTCCTCTTCCCCGCTATCTCTCCCCCCCCCCCCCCCCCACGTCGCAGGTCCTATTGGTACGCTCTCCTAGCGTGAGAACGGGCGTCCGCGTGGCCACTACGCATGCGCACCCCGCCACCCCCCGGGAGGGAGGGTCGGGGGGGGGGGAGAGCGAAGCCGGGACCCCGCCCCTCCGCCGCTTCACGCGTGACGTCGCGGGGGGCGCCGGCCTCCGCCCGGCTCCGACCGGTGAGAGCGAGCGGCGGGCGGACCCAATGCCGCGAGATCGGGGGAGGGATGCGGGTGTTGAGATCCTTACGGGGGGGGGGGGGGGGCTTGGAGTCGGAGGGGAGGCCCGGGTGCGCCCCCAGCCGTCGGACCCCTCAGGCTCGGCCCTTTTCCCTCCTGTTGCTTCCCGCCTCCCCCTTCCAGATAAGCTGGGGCTCGAGGCTGCAGGGCAGGGGCTGAGCGTCGGTGTCACCTGCCCTTTCCCGGCCTCCGTTCACCCCGTATGCTTTAACTCCTCTTCGTCTACCTGTCGCCGCTTTGTGCGGGATCAATTACTCCACTGTAGAGGCGGGAAGTGGGTCCTTGGCCCTACCACTCCTGTGTGAGGGAAAGCCACTGAGCCTCAGTTTCCCCTACCGTAGTGTTGCCTTGCCTCACCTGGTCTTGAGGACCGGTATGACACCGGGAGAAAGGACATCTGTTGAATTCCTGACTGGCTAAATTCGTGCAGACCGTGCTGTCTGGTCACGTGGAAGCCACCTTCTGATTTCCTCATCTGAGAACTCCCATTTTACAAGCTGACAGCGGTTAACCGGCTTGATGGGACGTAGGCAAGGAGTCGCAAGGGAGATTCGCACCTACCTAGCCCGTGAGCTCCCAAATGGGAGCCTTCTAGACACTTCCCCTTGTCTCAGTTCTGCTTAGATCTGGTCTCCCCCCAAAGCCTAGTCGCAGCTGCTGCTGCTTTTTTGTCCTGCTGAGAATTCTCCCTTTCAAGTTCCCTTTGCCTGTATAGAATGCTCAGTTCTGCTTCTGCTTTATTTTAGAAGTCGAATGCAGCAAATATTTAAGTAGAACAGGGAGATAAACTTTGGGAATCCAGAGTCTTAGATTCTCCATCTGCCTGTGCTAGGATCTGACTGTGTGGCCTTGGGCAAGTTTCTTGTCTTCTCTGAGCTCTAGCTTCCTTTTGCATAACATGGGTGAGTACCATCTGACCAGTAGGCTGTCTACTTCTCCCTTGCTGTCCTCCAGCAGGCTCTCCGTGGAGGCCCAGACTCCTCTGCTTCCCATGGGCAGCTGCCAGGCAGGGCACAACCTGCATCTCTGTCTGGCCCACCACCCACCTCTGGTTTGTGCCACTTTGATCCTGCTGCTTCTTGGCTTCTCAGGCCTGGGCCTGGGTGGCTTCCTCCTTACCCATAGGACTGGCCTTCGCAGCCCTGACATTCCACAGGTAAGTACTCCACTGCTCACCTTTCCCATGTAGGTCTGCTGCTGCTGCTGCTGCTGCTGCTGATCTAAGCTCACGTCTGTTCTACTTTTCTTTTGCTCACAGGATTGGGTCTCTTTCTTGAGATCTTTTGGTCAGCTGACCCTGTGCCCTATGAATGGTACAGTCACAGGGAAGTGGCAAGGGTCGCACGTCGTGGGCTTACTGACTACCTTGAACTTTGGGGATGGTCCAGACAGGAACAAGACTCAGACATTCCAGGCCAAGATCTCTGGTAGTCAGATGGGATTGAAAGGTGAGATCAGGGAGAACTTGGGGTTGAAGGGTTGAGGGTGGGATGCAGCATGAGAATGCTCAGAGCTGCATCCTGCCTCTGACATCACCATCCTATTGACCTTGGGTTCTAACCCTGCGTCTTCATCACTTCTGCTATAATAAGGCCTACTTTCAGTAAACATTTTACCCACAATGTAGGTAACTCTTAGTTTTGCCTTTCTTCTTTCGGTTCTGAGCCCCTTGATTCAGGCCTTAGAAGTGTGATGAGCTGGGATGGGTAAGGATGATCGGGACTGTGCCTTAGGGGGATAGAGTGCTTGCCCAGCATGCAAAGTCCTGGGTTTGATTCCTCAGTACCAACCACATAAACAGAAAAGGCTGGAAGCGGTGCTGTGGCTCAAGTAGTAGAGTGCTAGCCTTGAGCAAAAGAAGCTCAGGGACAGTGCCCAGGCCCTGAGTTCAAGGCCCAGGACTGGCAAAAAAAAAAAAAAGATGAGCACGGTTTTATTCAGTGTTCTTTCCCAACCCTGTCGCAATCTCCTCTTAGGGGAAAAGCATGATGTGTCCAATTAAACTAGTATTTCTGTGTGTGTCTGTCTGTGTGTGCGTGCACGCGTGCGCGCGCACACACGCCTGTCCTGGGGCCTGAGCACTGTCCCTGTGCTTTTTTCCTTTTTTTCCTTTTTTTTTTGGTCCAGTCGTGGGGCCTGAACTCTTGGGCCTGAGCGCTGTCCCTCAGCTCTTCAGCTCAAGGCTAGCACTCTACCACTTGAGCCACAGTGCCACTTCTGGCTTTTTTTTTTCTTATGTGGTGCTGAGGAATCGAACCCAGGGCCTCAGGCATGCAAGGCAAGTGCTCTACCACTGAGCCACCTTCCCAGCCCCTCCCTATGCTTTTTTTTACTCAAGGCTAGTGCTCTACTACTTGAGCCACAACTCCCCTTCTAGCTTTTTTGGTGATTAATTGTAGTTAAGAATCTCACCAAGCAGGCTGCTGGTGGCTCACGGCTATAATCCTAGCTACTCAGGACACTGAGATCTGAGGATGGAGGTTCAAAGATAGAGGGTTAAAGATAGCCCAGGCAAGAAAGTTCCTGAGACGCTAATCTCCAATAAACCACTCAGAAAACGAGAAGTGGTACTGTGGCTCAAGTGATAGAGCACTAACATTGAGCCTAAGAGCTCAGGGACAGTGCCCAAGCCTCGAGTTCATGCCCTATCACCCGCAAAAAGAAAGAAAGAAAGAAAGAAACTTTCTGACTTTCTTGCCAGGACTGGCTTCAGAGCACAATCCTCAAATCTCAACCTCCTAAGTAGCTAGGATCACAGGTGTAAGACACTGGTGCCAGGCTTTAAAATTTTTTTTTTCAGATAACAGTCTAAACTAATATTTTAAGTACCTGCTATGTGTTAGGTTTTTAAAAAGAGGTAGCCAAGTAAGAACAGCACCATGCACGTGGTATTCAGGTAAGGGGTAGGTTTATTCATCATTCTGGCTGGCACCAGGCCATCTTGGCCCTCCACTCGGTGGGGAAAGGCCTGAGAAAGAGAGAGCTGGGAAAGAGAAGACAGCTAGAAAAAAGAGCTAGAAAAGAGCATCTGGGAAAGGTGGGAAAGAGAGAGCTAGGAAAGAGAAGGGAGCTGGGAAAGAGAAGAGAAGGAAAGAGCTGAGAAAGAGCTAGAAAAGAGCAGAGAGAGGGCGTCTGGGCCTGGGCGAGGCCTTATCTAGGGTATGGGTGGAGAAAGGTGTGGCCACATCAAATTCAGATGTGGCCTCAGGGGATGCAGATGTGACTCTTCCAGGTGTCCCAGTTGCCTAGGTAACACAGGTACTGGGTGGAGACTTTGCTGTGAGGAGGATGGAGTCTGCTAGCCATCCTGGAGTGGACCTTACACTGTGTATTCAGAATAGTTCTGTGTGCAGAAAAGAGAGAGGGACACACACACACACACACACACACACACACACACACAGAGCATCTTTTTCCAGAAAGCTTCTATGAAAATGACAGAGAGAGAGAGAGAGAGAGAGAGACTTAGTGTCATTGATTCCTGGGTGGCATTTGACCTTAGGTATCTTATCTAAAAACTATAAGGAGGGGCTGGGAAGGTGGCTCAGTGGTAGAGTGCTTGCCTTGCATGCATGAGGCCCTGCGTTCAATTCTTCAGGACCAGAAAAAGCCAGAAGTGGTGCTGTGGCTCAAGTGGTAGAGCACTAGCCTTGAGCTGAAGAGCTGAGGAATAGCACCCAGGCCAAGAGTTCAGGCCCCACGACCAACAAAAAAACAAACAACAACAACAACAAAAAAAAAAAACCTAAGGAAATGAAAAAGGAAGAAAGAGGGAAGGAAAAACTGGGAGAGACCAAAGGATAGGGTGACAATGTCCAAAAGAAATGCACTCATCACCTGACTTACATAACAATATCCTCTCTGTACACCACTTTTTTTTTTTTTTTTTCTGTTGTGGGGCTTGAAACCTGGGCCCTATTCTGAGCTCTTCAGCTCAAGGTGAGCACTCTATCACTTGAACCACAGCACCACTTCCGGTTTTCTGGTGGTTTATTGGAGATAAGAGTCTCATGGTCTTTCCTGCTGGGCCTGGCTTTGAACCGTGATCCTCATATCTCAGCCTCCTGAGTAGCTAGGATTACAGACTTGAGCCACCAGCTCCGGGCTTGTACGTCACTTTTTTTTTTTTTTTTGGGTCCGGTCGTGGGGCCTGAACTCTGGGCTTGGGCACTGTCTCTCAGCTCTTCAGCTCAAGGCTAGCGCTCTACCACTTGAGCCACAGTGCCACTTCCGGCTTTTTGCTTATGTGGTGCTGAGGAATCGAACCCAGGTCCTCAGGCATGCAAGGCAAGCGCTCTACCACTGAGCCAACTTCCCAGCCCCTGTACATCACTTTTATAATGAAAACTTAAAAAAAAATTTTTTTTTTTTTGGTTGGTTGTGGGGCTTGAACTCTGGGTTTGGGCGCTGTCCCCATGCTCTTCAGCTCCAGGCCAGTGCTCTACCACTTGAGCCACAGCGCCACTTCTGGTTTTCTAGTGTTTTATTGGAGATAAGAGTCTCACAGACTTTCCTGCAGGGGCTGGCTTTGAATCTCGACCCTCAGATCTCAGCCTCCTGAGTAGCTAGGATTACAGGTGTGAGCCACCGGGGGCCGGCTATAATGAAAATTTTAAAATAAGAAAAAGAAGAGAAGAAAAGTAGAATCATCAGACTTCTGGGATCCTTTTTTTTTTTTTTGGGTCTGGTCGTGGGGCCTGAACTCTGGGCCTGGGTGCTGTCCCTCAGCTCTTCAGCTCAAGGCTAGTGCTCTACCACTTGAGCCACAGCACCACTTCCAGCTTTTTGCTTATGTGGTGCTGAGGAATCGAACCCAGGACCTCAGGCATGCAAGGCAAATGCTCTACCACTGAGCCACCTTCCCAGCCCCCACTTCCAGCTTTTTTCTTTTTGCTTATGTGGTGCTGAGGAATCGAACCCAGGGCTTCATGCATGCAAGGCAAGCACTCTACCATTGAGCCACCTTCTTGGCCCCTGGGATCCTTTTTTTTTATTTTGGCAGTTTTGGGGCTTGAACACAGGGCCTGGATACTGTCCCTGAGCTTTTTTTGCTCAAGGCTAGCACTCTTGAGCCATAGCACCACTTCCAGCTTTTTCTGTTTATATGGTACTAAGGAATCGAACCCAGGGCTTCATGCATGCTAGGCAAGCACTCTACCACTAAGCCACATTCCCAGCCCCTTCTGGGGTTCTTTCCAACAATATCATCCTAAGATTCTTCTGTGAGTTACAGACATGTATGTCATAGGGTTAAGTCTGTGTATGTCTAAGTGTACGTGTATGTAAACATGTAAACAAGGAATAAGAATAAGGACGGGGGTGGGGGGTGGAGGGTGGAGGGGGGCTGGGAATGTGGCTTAGTGGTTGAGTGCTTGCCTAGCATGCATGAAGCCTTGGGTTCCATTCCTCAGTACCACATAAACAGAAAAAGCTGGAAGTGGCGCTGTGACTCAAGTGGTAGAGAGCTAGCCTTGAGCAAAAGAAGCTCAGGGACAGTGCCCAGACCTGAGTTCAAGCGCTAGGACTGGCAAAAAAAAAAAAAAAAAAAAAGAAGGAATGTATTTAGTAATCTACTTTTTTGGTTTTATTTTTTAAATTTTTAATTTTTTTTTTGTTGTTGTTGGTCATGGGGCTTGAACTCTGGCCTTGGGCGCTGTCTCTGTGCTCTTCAGCTCAAGGCTAGCACTCTACCACTTGAGTCACAGTGCCACTTCCAGTTTTTTTCTTTTTGCTTATGTGGTGCTGAGGAGTTGAACCCAGGGCCTCATGCATGCAAGGCAAGCGCTCTACCACTGAGCCACCTTCCCAGCCCTCGCTTCAGGTTTTCTAGTGGTTTATTGGAGATAAGAGTCTCACAGAGTTTCCTGCCCGGGCTGGCTTTGAACTGTGATTCTCAGATCTCAGCCTCCTGAGTAGCTAGGATTACAGATATGAGCCACCGGCACCTAACTTTTTTTTGTTTCATTTTTGTGCTGGTACTGTGTCCCGAAGTCAGGGCCTCATATTCTTTTGGCAGTTTTATTCATTTTGCAATTTTATTTTATTTATTTATTTTTTATTTTTTTTTGTCGGCCATGGGGCTTAAACTCAAGGCCTGGGCACTTTCCCTGAGCTCTTTTGCTCAAGGCTAGTACTGTACCACTTTGAGCCACAGCTCCACTTCCACTTCCAGTTTTTGTTTTTCTTTTTTTTTGTCCGTCTAGGGGCTTGAACTCTGAGCCTATGCACTGTCCCTGAGCTCTTCAGCTCAAGGCTAGCACTCTACCACGTGAGCCATAGCAACACTTCGGTTTTCTAGTGGCTTATTGGAGAGAAGAATTTCATGGACTTTCTTGCATGAGTTGGCTTTTGAACCATGATTCCCTTATCTTAGCCTCCTGAGCAGCTAGGATTGCAGGCGTGAGCCACTGGAGCTGGGCTCACTTCCGGTTTTTGAGTGGCTAATTGGAGATAAAAGTCTGACAGGGACTCTTCTGCCCAGGCTGGCTTTGAACCCTGATCCTCCTGAATAGCAGGATTATAGGCATGAGCCACTGATGCCCAGCTTTACTTGGCATTTTTAGCCCAAGGCCATTATTCTACCACTTGGAACTTGAAGTTGTTGCTTTTTGCTAGTTAGTTGAAGATGAGTCTCACAGATATGCAAGGAAAGACTTTTCCAAAGATAGAGCCTAAGCTGAAGCTTGAAGAATGTATAGCAGTTCCAGCCATAGAGAATAGAAGACACATAGGTCGGAACCACAATAATAATATGTTTAGCGATAGAGTGCTTGCCTTGATCTGAAGAGCTAGGGATAGCACCCAGGCCCCGGAGTTCAAGCCCTATGACCAAATAACAACAACAACTACAACAACAACAACAATAATAATAGGCAAGTATTGTACCGCTTGAGCCACAGCACCACTTCTGACTTATTCTTCTTATGTGGTGCTTAGGAATCGAACCCAGGCCCTCATGCATGCAAGGAAAGCGCTCTACCACTGAACTACCTTCCCAGCCCCCTAATTTTTTTTTTTTTTTTAATATTGGGACAAGAGCTGGTACTGGAGCTTGGACTCAGGGCCTAGGTTCTATCCTTGAGCTTTTCTGCTCAAGGCTGGTGTTCTACCAGTTGAACCATAGATCCATTTATGGCTTTTTGGTGGTTAATTGGAGATCTGAGTATTACAGACTTTCCTGCCCAGGCTGCCTTGGAACCTGAATTCTCAGCCTCCTGAGTAGCTAGGATTATAGTTATGAGCTACCAGAACCAGCCTTCTACAAGTGGTATTTCTGATTCAAAGAGGATGGCCTTTGTTTTTGTTAGACAATGTCTCATTATGTAACCCATGCTGGCCTTGAACTTGTGATCTTCTTGCTTCAGTCTCTTGAGTTCTGGGATTACAGACATGAACCACTATGTGGAACTTGTTCCTTGATACTTTAACTTACCTTTCATTATTTGGGAGAGAGAGAGAGGAGAGAGAGGGAGAGGGGGGAGAGAGAGGGGAGAGAGACTCTGTGTGTGTGTGTGCGCCAGTTCTGGGATTTGACCTTAGGGTCTGGATGCTGTCCCTGAGCTGTTTTGCTCAAGGCTAGCACTCTACTACTTGAGCCACAGCTCCAATTCTGGCTTTTTGGTGGTAATTGGAGATAAGAATGTCCTGGACTTGCCTGCTTGGGCTGGCTTTGAATCATAATCCTCAAATGTCAGCCTCCTGAAGTAGCTAGGATTATAGGCATGAAAGTGAGCCACTGGCACATAGCACTGTCTAACTTGTATGAGGTTAAGGTTATTATTCTTTATTAAGGCTTTTAGATTTCATGTCTTTGGTGGGAAAACCTTCCTCACTGGAAAACTGTCTTCTTTATTTTTTCAATAACTTTTTTTTTTGTGGTACTGAGATTTGAACTCAAAACCTGTGGTAGGCTGGGAATGTGGCTTAGTGGTAGAGTGCTTGCCTAGCATGCATGAAGCCCTGGGTTTAATTCCTCAGTACCACATACCCAGAAAAAGCTAGAAGCGGTGCTGTGGCTCAAGTGGTCCAGTGCTTGAGCAAAAGAAACTCAGGACAGTGCCCAGGCCCTGAGTTCAAGCTCCAGGACTGGCAAAAAACAAAAAACAAAAAAAACAACAAACACCTCGTGGTTATTTTCTTCCAACACTTGATTTTTTTTTTTTTTTTTTAGGTTTGCATTGTTCTTTTTTTTTTTGGGTCCGGTTGTGGGGCCTGAACTCTGGGTCTGGGCGCTGTCCCTCAGCTCTTCAGCTCAAGGCTAGCGCTCTACCACTTGAGCCACAGCACCACTTCCGGCTTTTTTCTTTTTGCTTATGTGGTGCTGAGGAATCGAACCCAGGACCTCAGGCATGCAAGGCAAGCGCTCTACCACTGAGCCACCTTCCCAGCTGCATTGTTCTTTAATACATATGGGTTTTATTTTATAGTGCAAGATAACAGTGTGTTTTCAAATGTTTTTTCACATGGAAATTGTGGATCATCTTTTTCCTACTAATTTAAAACAGAGTGGAAACCTTGTAATGAATTTTGATACCTAGTGGAAAACTGCTTTTTTAAAAAGGACAAATAAGGGGCTGGGAAGGTGGCTCAGTGGTAGAGTGCTTGCTTTGCATGCCTGAGGCCCTGGGTTCAATTCCTCAGCACTACATAAGCAGAAAAAGCCAGAAGTGGCGCTGTGGCTCAAGTGGTAGAGCGCTAGCCTTGAGATGTAGAGCTGAGGGACAGCGCCCAGGCCCAGAGTTCAGGCTCCACCACCACCAAAAAAAAAAAAAAAAAGGACAAATCAATTTATACAAACTGACATTGGGCAGGGTGCATCTGCCTGTTCTGCTATAACCTCATGGGTCTCTGTGTGACTGTTACATTGATTGTAACCTAATTTCAGTCACTTTGTGTGTTCATTGATGCACAGCTATTTTCATTCTCAGTGCTAAAGTATGTGGAATTCTTGAACAGCCATGAATGCCCAAGCACCTGGCATTATAGAAAGCCTTAGAGCCAGACACTGGTGACTCACACCTGTAATCCTAGTTACTCAGGAAGCTGAGATCTGAGGATAATGGTTCGAAGCCAGCCCAGGCAGAAAAATCTGTGAAACTCTAATCTTGAGCACAGTGGCTCAAGTAGGAGTGCTCTGGCCTTGAGGACAAAGAGGCTAAGGACAGCACCGAGGCCCTGAGTTTAAGCCCCGGGATTGACCAAAACAAAGAGAGAGAGAAAGGTATTTGTGAGAGTTGAAGAGAATGAGACTTGTTAAACAAGCTCATTTTTAATACCATATACACGTATGCTTTTTGTGTGTGTACCAGTCATGAACACAGGACCTGGCATTGTCCCTGAGCTTCTTTTGCTCAAGGCGAGTATTCTACTACTTGAACCACAGCTCTACTTCCAGCTTTTCTGGTGGTTAATTGTAGAATAGAGTCTCACAGACTTTTCTGCCTGGGCTGGCTTTGAACCAGGATCTTCAGATCTCAGCATCCTGGGTAGCTAGGATTATAGGCATGAGCTATCAGCACCCAGCCTTTTTTTTTTTAAGATAGGGTTTTTTGAGACTGGGAATATGGCTTAGTGGTAGAGTGTTTGCCTAGCATGCTTTGAAGCCCTGGGTTCAATTCCTCAGTACGACATAAACAGAAAAAGCTGGAAGTGCCGCCGTGGCTCAAGTGGAAGAGTGCTAGCCTTGAGCACAGAGAGGCTCAAGGACAGTGCCTAGGCCCTGAGTTCAAGCTCCAGGACTGACAGAAAAAATATATATATAGGGTTTTTCACTTTTGGGGGGTCAGGCCTCACATCTTGGTCTTTCTCCTTATGGCTGGGATTAGAATCTCCCTTTTTGCTTGAACTTTGATCTTCTTGTCTCTCCATTTCAAGTAGCTGCCTCTCAAGTGATTGGGATTACAGGCCTGAGTCGCCACACCTGACTACCTGTGATTTCTTTCTTTCCCATCCCTCTTTCAGGGTCTTCTGCAGCAGAGCTGATCCTCATCACAGCCAGAGTGGCTCCAGAAAGGACTCCAGGAACCTGTCTATATTTTAGTGCTGGTCCAGGAATCCTGCCCTCCAGTCAGCCACCCATATCCTGCTCAGAGGAGGGAGCAGGAAATGCCACCCTGAGCCCTAAGATGGGTGAGGAGTGTGTCAGGGTCTGGAGCCACGAAGGCCTTGCACTCACCAAGCTGCTCACTTCGGTAAGAGCCTTAGGTTGATCCCCTGGTTTTGTAAACTGCCATTGCTGAATGCTGTGTGTGGAAAGTACCAGGTAGGAATTTCACCTAGTAGAAAATATCTAGACTTGGACTGGGAATGGCTTAGTGGTAAAGTGCTTGCCTAACATACATGAGGCCCTGGGCTCAATTCCTCAGTACCACATAAACAGAAAAAGCCGGAAGTGGCCCAAGTAGTAGAGTGCTAGCCTTGAGCAAAAGAAGCTCAGGGACAGTGCTCAGGTCCTGAGTTCAAGCCCCAGGACTAGCAAAAAGTAAAAGGGAAGAAAGAAAGGAAAGGAAGAAAGGAAGAAAGAAAGAAAGAGAAAGAAAGAAAATCTCTAGACTTTCCAACACTACTTGAGAAGCTGGGTGGGCTAGAGCAAGAATCTGAACCTTTCTGAATCTCTGCTGCTTCCTAAAACAGAAGATACCACTCTGAATTCCAGCAAATAAGGATTGAATGAGAATGAATGTCAAAAATGCTCAGCCCTATAGAGGATACCTAGTAGATTTGATAAATGGCAGTTGGACGGTCCTCAAGCAAGATAAAACCTGAGCTCTATCTCTAAGGAATGTAGCAGCTGTGAACAAGAGGCAGAATAGGCTAATTGCTGTCATAGAAATATAAACAGAGTATTATATACAAACACAAAGTAAGGAGCAATTAACCCTTAACTCGAATATTTATAGAGTGCGCTTCCTGGAGAAGGTGGCACTTAAGAAAGGATCATGTACAGTAGCTCATAATGTACAAAGTGTTTTCAGGTTCATTATCTCATTTGATCTTAAAATAACCTCTTGAGGTTGGTGCTGTTAGCCCATTTTACAGATGAGGAAATAGGTTTAGAGACAGAGGGAGTCAATTGCCCAAGGCCACACAACTGGTTTTGTGTCAGAGCCTGGGTTGTAATGTCCGCCTTCTCACCTGCCATTCTTTTTTTTTTTTTCGTTGGTCGTGGGGCCTGAACTCTGGGCCTGGGCACTGTCCCTCAGCTCTTCAGCTCAAGGCGAGCGCTCTACCACTTAAGCCACAGCGCCACTTCCGGCTTTTTTTTTTTCTTTTTGCTATGTGGTGCTGAGGAATCGAACCCAGGGCCTCAGGCATGCAAGGCAAGCACTCTACCACTGAGCCACCTTCCCAGCCCCTCACCTGCCATTCTTAAAGAATAAGAGTCTGGAGTGGAGATAGACCAGGGACCACAAGCCTTGGGATTGGGAAGAGCTTAGTCTTTGAGGGTACTGCATGCTAAGCAGTTTAGGAAGGGCCTAGAAGAAGCAAGAAAGACTGTGGGGACTGCACTGGAGGGCGCACTGTGAATCCAGGCAAAGATGCTGCAACTGGACACTGAAGTGGGAGTCTCTGAGGACCTTCAAGGAGGGGAGAGAAGCCCTCCCTCCCTGGTGTTAGGTGGAGATGGGCTGAGTGAAAGAGGGGAGCAGTTAGGGAGTTTGTTGCTAGTCTTCACTCATGCTCTGTTTGCATAGCCTTTCAAATGTGAAGAAGAGAGAATGTTCCTGGCTCAAGCAGTCATTCTGGATTTTGTCCATGGCTGGGCAGGAGAGCAGTCTGTAAACCATTGAGCCAAATGTCAACTTGTCTCACAATAACATTTTTCCCTTTAGCTTCTCCCTAGATGCTAAAGAGCCTCTCTCTTATGTAGTCTTTACCCATAACTCTTGGGCTGGGGGCAAGATGTCTTCCCAAGAGAAGGCATCCTCCCACTCTCCATCTTTTTCCCCTTCTCTCCCACCCCTAGGAGGAGTTGGCGCTGTGTGGCTCCAGGCTGCTGGTGTTGGGCTCTTTCCTGCTTCTCTTCTGTGGCCTTCTCTGCTGTATCACTGCTAAATGCTTCCACCCACGCCGGGAGTCCCACTGGTCTAGAGCCCGGCTCTGAGGGCACTGGCCTAGTTCCTGCCTTGTTCTCAGGTGAGGATCTTCACTCCTATGAGAACAGGGGATGGGGTGGGAGTGGAGACTGTAACTGGGGTAGAGAGATTCTTGGAGTCCATCTTTAAATACTGCTTATCAGTCCCCACATCTATCTCTTGAGAAACTGGGAACAGTTTATACCACAAATAACATTTATCTTCTTATTTTCAATTACAAAATAGTTAACAAATTCAACTAGGAAAGTAAAAAGAAGCATTAAAATATGCTTGGCAAATTCTTAGAGACACTTGTGAAATTGAATATTCCCTAAAACTCCCATCTTCCTTGCTTCCTGAGATGTCATGTGTCTCCTTAGAAGTTAACCATCTTACTTTAGTTTCATGAAAGTACACCTTCCATAGGTGAATGTGGTTTAGTTTTACTTATTTGTGACCTTTATGTTGATAGACTTACCCATATTTTGTGACTGATTTCTTTCAGTCTTCTAATTTCTAAGACTGATCCATAACTGAGCTAAGGGCTGATGCTCACACCTGTAATCCTAATGACTTAGGAGGCTCAGGGTTGGGCTCCTAATACCCCTTCCTGACAGGCAAGTGCCTGTCATCCTAGCTTTGTAGAATAGGTGTCCAGGTACTTGCCAAAGCAGAAAATGAGTCCCTCTTTCAAAAATAATCTGTATTTGGGGCTGGGAAGGTGGCTCAGTGGTAGAGCGCTTGCCTTGCATGCCTGAGGCCCTGGGTTCGATTCCCCAGCACCACATAAGCAAAAAGAAAAAAGCCAGAAGTGGTGCTGTGGTTCAGGTGGTAGAGTGCTAGCTTTGAGCTGAAGAGCTGAGGGACAGTGCCCAGGCCCAGAGTTCAGGCCCCACGACTGGACCCCCCCCCCAAAAAAAAAAAAATCTGTATTTTTTTTTTTAAAAAAAAGGGCTAGGCATGTGGCTTCCCAATGGAGTGCCCACCCAGCAAGTGCAAGGCCCTGAGTTTGGTGGTACTCTATGGCTACTAAAAAGATTGATCCATAGCCGTAGTTTGTGTCCACTTTTTGACTATGATGATGAGTTAAGAGGGTTTCTCCAGGTGCTGGTAGCTCACACTTGTAACCCTAACTACTCAGGGAGCTGAGATCTGAGGATCATGGTTCAAGGCCAGTCTGGGCAGGAAATTCTGTGACTTTTTTTTTTTTTTTTTTTGGTGGGGCTTGAACTCAGGCTCTGTCCCTGAGCCTCTTTGTGCTCAAGGCTAGTGCTCTACCACTTGAGCTACAGAGTCACTTCTGGGTTTTTTGTTTTTGTTTTCTGCCTGGGCTGGCTTCGAACCATGATTCTCAGATCTCAGCCTCCTGAGTAGCTAGGATTACAGGTGTAAGCTACTAACACCTGGTGTCCAGAGACTCTTATCTCCAATAAAACTTATCTCCAAAACGCCAGAAGTGGAGCTGTGGCTCAAATGATAAGAGTGCCAGCCTTGAGAGAAAAAAAGCTCAGGGAGAGCACCTAGGCCCTGAGTTCAAGCTCCAGGATGGTACCCCCTCAAAAAAAAAAAAGTTGAAGTTTGATGATTTATTCTGGACATGAATCATATTTCTCTTCCTTTTGTCTTGAAGTAAGTTTATGATGCCAATTATGTAAAATTGTAAAATTCAACTTTAACAGCCCAAAAGAAAGATGCCCAGTCTGTGTGTCCAAACACTTTACACGTACCACATTCAATCATCATTCCACTTAGAAAAATTTGGTTCTGCTGACAAGATATTTAGAGGGAATCAGTTTCCCAAAGAACCAGAAGAGTGGGGTGAAGGGTTGTGTGGAGGGAAGACATATTGGCTAACTAGTTTATATGTCAGTCGATCAAGGGAGAAAGTATTTCTGCAAAAAGATCTTATCAGGTTGTCTAGTCTACAGTGAAAACCACATCATGATGCATCCTCTTTTAAGCTGTCCTCAGCTTCAAATGGCCTCAGAGTTCTAAGAGATTCCTCTGGGAGAAATGGGAACTGCTCTGGCCAGAGGAACTGGAAGCTCAGGATCCACTTTGCTAATTTTGCTTTGGGCTAGACCTCACTGCCCTGAACCATCTACCTGGGACTGGAAATGATGTAGCCCTCTCAGCCTTACATTGGGAAAGGAAGGTTTTCTGGTCTTTGGCAGATCGCACAGTCTGGTGGCCACCCCAGTGGGATTTAGCACCCACATCTAGCTCTAGTTGTCATTTCTGCTTTTCCCTCAATCTGTTCTCACCCCAGAGCTGCCTCTCAGAACTCTCTGACCTGTTTTGTGTTTTGTTTTTGTTTTCTCCAGGTGTGAATCAACTTCTTGGGCTTTGTTCTGAGTTGGAAGAAATGTACAAAAAGTGAAGAGCTGGAGAGTTGGGGGAAATAAAAGGCTTTTTTTTTTTTTTTTTTTATCCCTGTCCCTGGCTGGCCTTGGACTTGAGGTCCCCCTGCCTCAACCTCCTGAGTGCTGGGAACTCAGACCAGTGCCATCTCAGCCCATTCCCTTTGTTGATTTTTTTTTTTTTTTTAGTTTGGGGAACAGGTAGGCATAGCGCATAGTTACTTCAGCTCTTTCCCGAGGTTGGAAAACATTGGCTCTGCCATTCAGTGTCTTGATTCTTTCCATGAACTTTATGAATAATTGGGGGTTTGACCTAAATACATAGAAAATGCTTTAATATAAATGCACTGTGACCTTGGGTAAGTCATGCAACCCTGCAAGGCCTCCGTGTCTTTGGGGGGGGGGCTGTATTTTTACAGGTAGAGTTTCCCAACACTGACTGCATGATCAATTCCTTGCATTTGGGGCTTACTCTAAACGGAATAGTTACTACCTTAACAGTGGTCCATTTTCCCGCCTTTTCCGCGTCCAGCAACGGCAACAACCGCAGCCTTCCCCCAGCCCCTCCCAGCCTCCCTCCGGCACGCAGGCGCAAACTATCGTTTTCCTTCCACCCGCGCCCCCCCAAGCTTGCCCTAGCAACAAGCTCGAGCTAGGCGCGAAGGCGGGGTGAGCGCATGCGTCCCTGCTCCGTCCGCCACCAGTCGTCGGATTGCGCGCTGGGCTCCTCCCCCGGCAAGCCCAGCCGTCTCCCCGCCCCCTCCCACCCAGGGTCCGCGTGGCGGGGCGCGCGCGCACTCGGGCCCGGTGACTCCGAGTCTCTCGGGCTGCAGCCGCCAGGCGGGAGGGGCGGGGTTCTTTCCCTGGGGCTCCGCCTCTTTTGGCCTGGCGTTCCTACCGCGCTTGCGCGCTCCCGCCCGGTCTCCATCTTGGAATTGGGAGGAAGAGGGAGAGGGAGACCGGGACGAGACCGGGCTGTGGTGCGGAGAGAGGCTGAGGCGGAGAAGAGGAGAGGGAGAGAGGGCGCGGAGACAGTCGGCAGCGCCTTAGCTACAGTCTCTCGGCTGTCCTCGAGAGCGAGGAGGAGGAAGGAAGGAGGCCAGGGCGGGAGCGGGGGCTGTCACTCTCGGACCCCGGCGTGAGAGGGGCCGTGCGGCCGGGCGTCCTCGGGGTGGGCCCCCCGGACGGTGGCCGGAGACCCGGGTTCAGGCTCCCGGGGTCCACATTTCCGGGCTGCGCCCCCCCCCCCCCCCGCTTCTCAAATACCCAGGTATCAGCCCTCCTGTTCCAGATAGCCGGGACTCGGGTCCCAGCCTCTCCAAACCTGGGGGTCTGTTTTACAGAATTTCCGATCTCTGGGGTTCAGGCCCCTGTGTGCACCAGTATCCGGGGTTCACTCCCCAGGCCTTCAGAGAGCGGATTCATTTTCTCCGTGCGTAAAAATACGGGGTTGAGACCCCCCCCACACCAGGAATCCGGGATTCAGCAACTCTCGCCCTCGAGTTGGGGGAGGACTGGACCGCGAGGTCAGATCAGGTTGTCACCCCCTCCCCTCCAGGGGCGGCTTCCCGGGCCCGCCCCCCCGGAAGGGCGAAAGCCGAGGAAGAGGTGGCAAGGGGAAAGGTCTCCTTGCCCCTCTCCCTGCTTGGCAGAGCCGCTGGAGGACTCCAGGCGGAAGCGGAGGCGCTGGGGCACCATAGTGACCCCTACCAGGTGAGACACGGGGTGCAGGGGCGCGGGTCCCTGTGTCTAGCACAGAAGAAGCAGACCTTTCTGAGAGGCTGGGCTGGGGCAGGCCCTCTCTTCAGGATGGGGAACCCCAGCTGGGCCCGTGGTCAGCCTCTGGCCCGCCTTGCCTTGTGTTGCCACCCTCTTCCCCATCCTCTTCCCTTCATTGTGTCTGGTTGATGGGGGACCTCAGGTGACAGGTCTCTAATGTCATGCCCTAGGGTACTTGAGTTAATTACATGGATTGTACCTTTCTGGTCTTCTCTGTTAACTTTGTCCCTCGTAGCCACCTCTTCTTCATGATTATACTTCTTTTTCCTGACTGCTCTGGGGTGTTGGTTCACATGCCTCTGATTGCCATGGTGGGTCTGCTTATCTGCTTTTCATGCCTGATTTGGTTGGATGTCTTGTCCTTGCAAGGAAGTGTGTGTGTGTGTGTGTGTGTGTGAGAATGTTTTCACCTGGCCACAATTAACCTTGCTGGTATACATTTCATACATTTATCAAGTGATCTTCCTTTACAAATTACTTCTTATCCATTCTCTTTGGCCTCACACATCCCATTCACCCTATGAAAGCTCTTTTAATGCTGTCTTCCCATTTTACAGTTGAGAACATTGAGGCCCAGAGAGGTTGCCCAAGGTCACACAGCTAAATGGGAATTTTAAACTAAGTCCTCAGCCAGGTCTCGCCCTTGACCCACACTTGTTTCTGGCCATGTTTCTTCCAAGCTTAGGCTTAGCCAGAGAGGCCCACAGGAAGATGATTTGGGGTGAGGGCTGAAAATGGGGGTGTGATGAGATTCCTTTCTAGGAGGGCTGTATATACTAAGGAGCTTTTCATGAGGGGAGCCTGTGACTCCTGCTTCTGCTTTGTGCATTTTCTGTCTAACATGACCTTCATCTTTACCACATTCTCAGACTTTGGGTTTCTGAAAGGGCTGGCCCTTCTGACAAACGATGGCCATAGTGGCCTCTCTTGACAGTTAAAGCTTGGCAGTTGGGGTAAGATGATTTCCTGAAGCATTAAGCCTATGGCAACCCTAGAGACAGGGAAAGAAAAAAAAAATCCATATGTTGAGTGTCTGCATAGTGTTTCAGTGAGATCTCATGAGTCCCATACTACAATAATCCATTTAACCGGAGAAGACCAAGAATGGAAAGGAGTTATCTAAAGCTGTTGCTGAACAGTGCAGATGGAATATACTGGTAGGGCAGCTCAATGATGAGGACAGATTTCTCTTCAGACACAAGGATATGAACATTGATTTTTAAAACATGGTTTTGATTTAGCACAGACCTTGGTAATGGCTCAAATGCTGTTGTTTTTATGAGGAAGAGAACCTGTGTGCCAATGGCTGGCACCCTTTTTATGTGGTCTGAGATCCTGGCAGCCATGAGGTTGGTGCTAGTAAAGAGGTCAGGAAGATTGCCTTGGCAGGTTGTGAGCACCTGCTCTTGTGTGATCTGTGATGCAGGTGAGGAGTGCTCAGGCACCATTGTTGGCAGAAGGGGGCCTTGAGTAACTTGGCTGCTGTTGTGGGCTGAGCTGAGGACAAGGGATCTCAGCCTTTCTGAGCCTTCTACCCTCCTGGGCCCCTGAACAGTCAGACTCCCTCCTTGCCCTTCAGCTTCCAGTTGAGTTGAAGAGACAACATTTAACAACACAACAGGAAACAGTGCACAACCAAATATAATTACCTGCTAAAATTGTTAGGTGCTTTTAAGCAGCTAGAACTCTTTCTTGGCTAGCTCTGCTGAAGGAGCCTTTGTGTTTAGCTTGGATTCTCTCCTGGAATCCCCTTGAGAGTCTGATTCTGATCACCAGCAGCAACTTTTTCTTGGTATTTGGCTGGGTGATCAGGGAACACCCTCCAAGGCCTGGAGTAGTCAAGGGAGACTTCCTGTAGGACAGGACCAAGCTTGAGTGACAAGCAATTAGGCTTTAGTGAAGAGAAAGTCCTGCCTGGTCTCTGACCTTAGAGAAAGTGTGTGTGTGTGTGTGTGTGTGTGTGTGCGCGCGCGTGCGCGCACACGCGCGCGCGCACCAGTACTAGAGTTAAATCCAGAGTCTGGGTGCTGTCTCTTAGCTTTTTCACTCGAAGCTGGTGCTCTACAACTTGAGCCATAGCTCCATTTCTGGCTTTTTGGTGGTTAATTGGAAGTAAGAGTCTCATGGACTTTCCTGCCTGAGCTGGCTTCAAACCGCGATCCTCAACTCTCCACTTCCTGAGTAACTAGGATTACAGGTTTGAGCCTGTAGTCCTTTTTTCCTCTGCTACTCAGCAACTTGTCTGATAAATGCTGATCCTGATTCTAACCCTGCCCTGCTGGTTTCATAAAGCTGTTCCAAAAGCCTGCTGGTGGTGAGACAGCTTTGGTCAAGTCACTTATCCTTTCTAAGCTTGTATTCCTCACTGGTGAAATAGGAGTAAAGAGAATGCCCCATAAAATTGAGATGAGCATGCAGTGAGGTACTTACTACCCATGGTCAACAAATGCTGTTCATACCACAGATATCCTGTGTATATGCTGCTTATGCAATGGGACTAGACAAGTAAGGCATCCCAGATCACAGAGATGCCCTCAAAGTCAGATGCCACTTCCATCCCTGGCTTTCCCATTCTAGATCTCCCTGCCACAGTATCCCTACCCTTTGTGAGAGTGAGTCTCCAGGTTCTTCTGGGCTAGTACCCACTTGGAACAATGGCCGGATTTCCACTACCTCCGGCCTAGCTGTTTCCTGTTCTCTTCCAGGGTGTGAAAGGTTGAAGGAGGAGGGGGCCTCAGCACCAACGGGAACAGGAAGGTGCCTGGAAATTGTTGGGAGCATGGGACTTGAGGGACAGGACGTGGGGATCTGGAGGGAAAACAGGTTATAAGGAAATGTGAACTTGTTGAGGGGGTGAAAGGGGTGGTGAGTGTTTGACTTCGCAGTGCCTTCCTAGCAATTTTAGGGACTCCAGGGCCGCAGCCCCCGTGATCTAGTTGCCAAGGCAACTTCATTTTTTTCAGAGCTTGGATGTTGCTCCTGATCTCCCCCTGTCCTTTCTCAGCAGTGCCTCCTCCTCATCAGAATGAGTGGGGAGGAGAAGTCAGGAACTGGAGGGGCCTCTTCCTTTCCCTGTGGGTCCTGGCCTGTGCTAAGAATCCCATCTTCCTTTCCCAGGTGAGGCCCTACTCTCAGGGCCCCCAGGGGCCACCATGCCAGCTGGGGGCCGGGCTGGGAGCCTGAAGGACCCTGATGTGGCTGAGCTCTTCTTCAAGGATGACCCTGAAAAGCTCTTCTCTGACCTCCGGGAAATTGGCCATGGCAGCTTTGGAGCTGTGTACTTTGTGAGTTGGGGCTTGGGGAGTAAAGTACGGATGGGGACTCTCTTCACTCTGTGAACTTCCAGACAGTCCTTCTAAGCCATTCCACGAGACCAACCTTTCCTGTCTCCTCCTACTGGGTCAGCAAATCTCCCCCTGCCCTGTGCTGGAGGAGAAGAAGATGTATCACCAGCCTCTGATCTGGTCCTCTAGGCCCGGGATGTTCGAAATAGTGAGGTGGTGGCCATCAAGAAGATGTCCTACAGTGGGAAGCAATCAAATGAGGTGAGTCAAGCTCCCTAAGACCAGGCTGTGGTACAGAGGACCTCAATCTCAAGATGCAGCTTGTGTAACTCCCTTCCACTCTGACTTTATAGAAATGGCAGGACATCATCAAGGAGGTGCGGTTCTTGCAGAAGCTCCGACATCCCAATACCATTCAGTACCGGGGCTGTTACCTGAGGGAGCACACAGCTTGGGTAAGCTGTTCCCCCTCCTCATGCCCATCTTGTCCTGGCCCAGTTTCTTTAGTGGGCCTTGTTCAGAGTGCCATTGTGGGATCTTAAGATAGAGGAAGTCTTTCCTGACTACTTTAGTTCTCAGACAAATTCAAGAGCAATAGGATCAGTCTGGGGGGAAAGAGGTTTGCTGAAGAGTGATGTAGGTAGCAGGTGGAAGGGGGCATGTGGTCTGGAGGAGGAGAAGAGTGAATAGAGGGTTAAAGGGATTCAAATGGAAGTAGTGGGGAATAACTTGGGCTTTGTCTAGCCAGGGACTCTCCCACCACCTCCTCATTTTCTCCAGTTGCCCTTCCTTCCTGTCATGTCTTCTGGAGCATCACCTGAGTGAAGGGATAGGTAGCTCTGTTTTGAGAATCTTCCCACGGATGCTAGGCCAGGTGTAGCCAGGATCTGTTGATCTCTAATGCTTGACCCTTTCATAGCTGGTGATGGAGTATTGTCTGGGCTCAGCTTCTGACCTTCTAGAAGGTAAGTGACTTGGTCAATAAGTGGGATAAGGGCGCAAAGAAGCTATAAGGGAAGGGATAAAGGGATCGTAATCCAGTCCCACCTACCAACCCCTTTAATTTGATATTTTTCCCCTCTTCAGTGCACAAGAAGCCCCTTCAGGAAGTGGAGATTGCAGCTGTGACCCATGGGGCGCTTCAAGGCCTGGCCTACCTGCACTCCCACAACATGATCCACAGGTACAGCAGTGCCAGAGATGGCTAGAATAAGAGTGCTTGCCACACACCCCTCATTTCTCTGGTCTGCAACTGTCTTGGGAACTGCTAACATCCCTGCCCAACTTTCTTGAGACATTTCATATCTTCTTTGTCTCCATTAGGGATGTGAAGGCTGGAAACATCCTGCTGTCAGAGCCAGGCTTAGTGAAGCTGGGGGACTTCGGCTCCGCATCCATCATGGCACCTGCCAACTCCTTCGTGGGCACCCCATACTGGTGAGGGGTGGTGGTGGGTGGAAAGAGCTCCCAGGGTGGCAGGAGTAAGAGTTGTGGAGACTGAGAGGTGATTCACCTCTTTCCTCTCATTCTCTCAGGATGGCTCCAGAGGTGATCTTGGCCATGGATGAAGGGCAGTACGATGGCAAAGTGGATGTTTGGTCCTTGGGGATAACCTGCATTGAGCTGGGTAAGTATGGTCTCCCCTTTACTCCCTCCTTTCTTCTTTCCTCCTTGCCATTACTGTCCTCGTCCCATCCCATCCTCTGGGGATGGCATCCTAGACCTCCAAACTCGAGTCCATTTTGACCATCCTGGAGCTTTGATTATCAGCACCTGTCAAATCCTGCCAATTCTTAGCCTTAAAGGTTTTGTAGTAGTTAATGGCTTTCTGTCCACTACCTTAGTTAAGTGCTCCCTACTGAACCGAGGCCTGACTTGATGTTACTTGATCATTCCTGTTTAACCTTTCTTTTAGAGTAAAAGGTCCTTGAGAGCAAGTCTAGATTGTTTGTTTTTTTTGTCGGTTGTGGGGCCTGAACTCTGGGTCTGGGCGCTGTCCCTCAGTGCTTCAGCTCAAGGCTAGTGCTCTACCATTTGAGCCACAGAACCACTTCCGGCTTTTTCTGCTTATGTGGTGCTGAGGAATCAAACCCAGGGCCTCAAGCATGCAAGGCACGCTCTCTACCACTGAGCCACCTTCCCAGCCCGTGTAGATTCTTTTATCTTCCCCATAATGCTTCGCAAGTTTTTTGCTCCTATTTGTTTCTTAATAAGTACTATTTAATAACTGAATGTGTGATTCTATCTGCCTTTTTGTGGGCATTTGTGAATGTTCTTTTTTGTTTGTTTGTTTTTTGTTGGTCGTGGTGCTTAAACTCTGGGCCAGGGTGCTGTCCCTCAACTCTTCAACTCAGGGCTAGCTAGCATTCTACCACTTGAGCCACAGCACTACTTCCAGCTTTTTCTGCTTATGTGGTGCTAAGGAATTGAACTAGGGCCTCATGCATGCCAGGCAAGCGCTGTACCACTGAGCCACCTTCCCAGTCCTGAATGCTATTTTCTTTGATCCCTTTTCTGCTCGTATCAGAGAGGGGAGATACTACATTTACTGAGGAAGGAACTAGTGAAAATTCAACATAATTGTGAATTGTTCAAGGTCATGTTATTCCTAATTCAGACTTTGGGATTTGAAACCTTGCTAAGTTCCATTCTAGTCTATTCTGTGCACCTGCCATCTTTCACCTTCTCCCCTACTGACTTTCCCATAGCGGAGCGGAAGCCACCACTGTTTAACATGAACGCGATGAGTGCCTTATACCACATTGCACAGAATGAGTCCCCCGCACTCCAGTCAGGACACTGGTGAGTACTGGGGTATCTGGAACTGGGCTAGACCATGGAGTCAAGCTGCCTGGCTCATTCTTACTTCTCCTGTCCCCTGCCCTCTGTGACTTATAGGTCTGAGTACTTCCGGAATTTTGTTGATTCCTGCCTTCAGAAAATCCCTCAAGATAGACCCACCTCAGAGGTTCTTCTGAAGGTGAGGGCTTACTGGCTTGTATTCCCTTAAAACTGCAGATTGGTGGAGGCCAAGAAACCCTCCCCAACGCCCTTCTCTACTAGGAGCTTCATTCACAAATCATCCTTAATGCCCAGTAGACTCCTTTTTGAAAGATTTTTTTCTATCAGACTGCTTTAATCTCTAAATAATAATAACTTCCCCCATATCTTATTGTGAGCTAGAGCTTTTGATTAGCATGAGATAATCGGCGATGCCACACTCATCTGATGTAATTCAAGCCTCAAACCTAGGGTGTCTTATCATGGGTCAATGTATGATTTCACTTGGTGTTTTGATTTTGTTTGTTTTTGGCAGTTCTGGGGTTTGAATTCTGTTTTATACTAGCTAGGCAGGCATTCTACCACTTGAGACACAACCCGGTATCCCCTGAAACACTTTTGAAGGGTCCATAAGGATCTCTAGTTAGGACTGATTTAGACAATCTAGTTTGACCTACTTATTTGATAATTCTGGAATAGCTTTTGAGGCCCAAAGAGACCTTATGATACATCCGAGATCACATGGCATGTTTCTTGTGTGTGCCAATCCTGGCACTTATTTTTTTGTTTTGTTTTGTTCCAATCCTGGGCCTGGGCACTGTCCCTAAGGTTTTTTTAAGACTAGCACTCTACCACTTGAGCCACAGCTCTATTTCTGGCATTTTGGTGGTTCACTGGAGAAAAGAGTCTCATGGGCTTTCCTGCCCAGGCTAGCTTTGAATCGTGATCCTCAGTTCTCAGCCTCCTGAGTAGCTAGGATTACAGATGTGAGCCACTGGTGCCCACCATGAGCCACTAGCACCCAGCTACATAACACTTGAATAGTGGAACTAGACTAGAATTCAGATCTCCTGATTGACGTGGCCTTCAGCACATCTGTAAAACAAGAGACCTGTCTAAGGAATGGAGATTGAGTGGTAGACATATTTTTGTGGGAGAGGGGTTTGAGACAAAGAAAGTATTCACCATGGTGGGTTTGGGCCTCAGGAGAATATTTCAGGCCAGTGAGAATACTCAGAGCCTTGGATTGGAATGGGATGATGGGGTGGGAGTTGCAGCAAGTCTCAATGTTCTCTTCCCCTAGCACCGCTTTGTGCTCCGGGAGCGGCCACCCACAGTCATCATGGACCTGATCCAGAGAACCAAGGATGCTGTGCGGGAACTGGACAACCTGCAGTACCGCAAGATGAAAAAGATTCTATTCCAAGAGGCCCCCAATGGTCCTGGTGCTGAGGCACCAGAGGAGGAGGAGGTGACCCAGCTGACCCTGCCACCTTTCCCACTTCCCCCACCCCCTACTTCTGCATACCCTCTGACTGCTTGTGCTGCCTCCATGCACACACTCCTTGTCCTTCCCCTTCCTTGCCCAACAGACCACGCCCTGTTCACAGGAGACCGAGCCCTACATGCACCGGGCAGGGACACTGACCAGTCTGGAGAGTAGTCACTCTGTGCCCAGCATGTCCATCAGTGCTTCCAGCCAGAGCAGCTCAGTCAACAGCCTAGCAGATGCCTCGGACAATGAAGAGGAGGAGGAGGAAGAAGAGGAGGAGGAGGAGGAAGAAGAAGGCCCTGAAGCCCGAGAGATGGCCATGATGCAGGAGGGCGAGCACACGGTTACTTCCCACAGCTCTATAATCCACCGCCTGCCGGTATGTGGCTCACCCTGAGCGGGCCTGACAGTTAAGCAGCCTAGCTTGAACTGTCCTCAGGAGCTATCTGAGGAACATGATTGTTCCTCCTCTAGTAACTCCCTTTCGGTTCAGTGGCCTCTGAGATGGGTATTCCTTTCACCTCCACTTCCTCTAGGGTTCTGACAACCTGTATGATGATCCCTACCAGCCGGAGATAACTCCGAGCCCACTCCAGCCACCTGCAGCCCCAGCTCCCACCTCCACCACCTCTTCTGCCCGCCGCCGGGCCTACTGCCGCAACCGGGACCATTTTGCCACCATTCGTACTGCCTCTCTGGTGAGTGCAGCCGCTCATCACCTTCTCCAAGTTACCTGGATACTCCAGACTATCTTCAAGTCTTGAAGTGACTTTGTTCCGGGACAAACAACTAATTAGATTCTGTTCTCATTTGCTGCTCTCCCTAGTTTTCTCCTCTCCGTGACTCTACTCCTTTTTCCCAGCAGACTTTTGTCACATTGTCCGGTCTTGGTATTGTAATGTGGGAAATTCTTAATCCATTTTCACAACCTGCCATAAATAACAGCTCCTGGGGGCTTCCCCGGCTCCTCTGGCTAGTCAGGTGCTCTGCACCCATGGGCATGTGCAGCCCATGTATCGTACCTTCAGGCCTACTGGATTCAGGAGGCAGAGGGCAGAATGGGGTTCAGTGGTATGCTTCATTTTTTCAGCCACCCTGGGAGAATCTTGCCCAGGTTCTTTGGTGGGTCCTAAGTCCTGAAGACAGTATCTTGGTCCTCTCCTTGAATTAAGTCATTCCCATTTTTTTCTCTGTCTACAGGAAAAAAAAAGTGTTAAGGTTTTCATAAGACAAAGTTATTTATTCATGCTTTTAATAAACCTATAAGGTCACATTCCCACTTGGCTGCATTTGGGTGCCAGCTGTCCCTGTAACGGCTGCCGAGTAGGTCTGTTGTATTCCTGTAGCCTCTGTCTGAGGCCAGGGCTTCCATGAAGCCAGCTCTTCAGTTGCCACAGTTCTTCGTGCTCTGTGGTGCTTTGCAGAGAGGTCTTTGGCTTCCAATACCTTGACCACCTGGACTAGCTTAAGAGCCAGTGATAGTAATTGCAAATAGGACCAGCAATCACCCTTGGGTGAGGACATCTAGACCCAGTGTTCTTTCTCCAGCATCCATCCCAGCTAGGCCATGAGGTGTGATGTGTCCTCCATGTTTGTTGAAGGTAAAGGACACAGCACTTGTGTTTAGAGTCTGCGGATGCTCTTCTGTGTAAGTGTTGAGCTTGCCGCTGTGCCTATGTATATGAATTGCCCATGGATGAGGCAAGAAATGCTAAAGGAAGTCACATGGGAGGAAGAGGCAGAGCTGGGATCTGAACCCAGGTCTGACTGTTCACTCTTATGAACTAAATCTGAGTTATTTCTATTTTTGTGCCGGCTCTGTGCTCGTCACCTTTTTTTTTCCTCATTGGATCACACCAACCCATGAAGTAAGATAATATTTCTACCATCTCTGAGGAAACAGGCTCAAAGAGAGAGGTTAAGTGTGGGGAAGGTCCAGAATAAGAATGAAACCATGAGTCTGAAAGCTGTATTCTTCCCCATGGAGCACCAAGATGATCTGTGTGAATAAAATGAGGGCCAGTGCTGAGTGTGTTTTGATCCCCTCTCCACCCTAGGTCAGCCGGCAGATCCAGGAGCATGAGCAGGATTCAGCCCTGCGGGAGCAGCTAAGTGGTTACAAACGGATGCGGCGACAGCACCAGAAGCAGCTTCTGGCCCTGGAGTCAAGGTTGAGGGGTGAACGTGAGGAGCACAGCGCACGGCTGCAGCGGGAACTTGAGGCACAGCGGGCTGGCTTTGGGGCTGAAGCTGAGAAGCTGGCCCGGCGGCACCAGGCCATTGGTGAGAAGGAGGCACGAGCTGCCCAGGCAGAGGAACGGAAGTTCCAGCAGCACATCCTCGGGCAGCAGAAAAAAGAGCTGGCTGCCCTGCTGGAGGCACAGAAGCGAACCTATAAGCTTCGGAAGGAGCAACTGAAGGAGGTAGGCTAGAGCCGTTGCAGTGGGGGGAGCACCGAGGGTGGGCAGTAAGGTCCTGACCCTGTTCCCCACTGCCCCATCCAGGAACTGCAGGAGAACCCCAGCACACCCAAGCGGGAGAAGGCAGAGTGGCTGCTGCGGCAGAAGGAGCAGCTGCAACAGTGCCAGGCAGAGGAGGAGGCAGGGCTGCTGAGGCGCCAGCGACAGTATTTTGAGCTGCAGTGTCGCCAGTATAAGCGCAAGATGTTGCTGGCCCGTCATAGCCTGGACCAGGACCTGCTGCGAGAGGTAGGCTGCCCCACCCACCATGAGTCAAGCATTCTGGCATCTCTCTCTTATTTGCCTCCCTCAAGTTTTCTTTCCCCTCTGTTGGAGTGATGTTGTGATTCAGGTTCTCTTTAATACCCTTCTTGCTTCCCATCCTCATTGGGTCCTGCAAGAAGGTCCTTAGACCTCTGTTCCCAGGCCAGCTATCCTCCACCCCACTATCGGCTCCCCTTGCCAAGGAGTTGGGGATTTTTCCTGCCTTGATACAAACAAAGCTCCTTGACCCAGGCCCTGGGCCCTGCCTGCCTCCCTTCTGCTTCAGGACTTGAACAAGAAACAGACACAGAAGGACTTGGAGTGTGCCTTGCTGCTGCGGCAGCATGAGGCCACTCGGGAGCTGGAGCTTCGGCAGCTCCAGGCTGTCCAGCGCACACGAGCCGAACTCACCCGCCTCCAGCACCAGACGGAGCTGGGCAACCAGCTGGAGTACAACAAGCGACGTGAACAAGAGCTACGACAGAAGCATGCGGCCCAGGTTCGCCAGCAGCCCAAGAGCCTCAAAGTACGTGCAGGCCAGCGCCCCCCAGAACACCCCATTACTGGCATTCTGAGACCACCTAGCACAGGCACTCCTAGTGAAGAGCAGCCCTGCTCATCTGGCCAGGAGACAGTCCTGGACCAAAGGGTGCTGGGAAAGGAGGAGGAAGCAGTATCAGAGAGGATTCTGGGAAAGGAAGGGAGCACCTTGGAGCCAGAGGAGCAGAGGATTTTGGGGGAAGAGTCAGGAACCCTTAGTCTCAGCTCACAAAAACATAGGAATTTGGATAATGAGGAAGATTGGGATCCACCAGAGGAGAAGATAGAGGAGTTTAGAGTCCCATCGCTGGCACCTGAGGAAAGAAGCATTGCCGGCGAGGAGGCGGCTGGGGCATGGAGGCTGTGGGAACAGGAGAATGGAAGCTTTCTGGATGAGGAGTTGGATCTCTGCTGGGTCCAGGGTCCAGCACTGACTCCAGTGCCAGAGGAGGAGGAGGAGGAGGACGAGGAAGGGGCTCCAGTTGGAACCCTTAGGGATCCTGGAGATGGTTGCCCCTCCCCAGACATCCCTCCAGAACCACCTCCACCACATCTAAGGCCTGGCCCTGCTAGCCAGCTCCCTGGACTCCTGTCCCACGGCCTCCTTGCTGGCCTCTCCTTCGCAGTGGGGTCTTCCTCTGGTCTCCTGCCCCTGTTACTTCTGCTGCTGCTCCCACTGCTGGCAGCCCAGGGTGGGGGTGGCCTGCAGGCAGCACTGTTAGCCCTCGAAGTGGGATTGGTAGGCCTGGGGGCCTCCTACTTACTCCTTTGTACAGCTCTTCATCTGCCCCCCAGTCTGTTTCTGGTATTGGCCCAGAGCAGCGCACTAGGGGCTGTCCTGAGCCTGAGCTGGCGCCGAGGCCTTATGGGTGTGCCTCTGGGGCTTGGGGCAGCCTGGCTCCTGGCTTGGCCAGGCCTGGCTCTACCCCTGGCAGCTATGGCAGCTGGAGGCAAATGGGTGCGGCAGCAAGGCCCCTGGATCCGCAGGAGCATCTCTCGACTCTGGTTGCGGGTTCTGTTGCGCCTATCACCCAAGGCCTTCCAGGCCCTACAGGGCTTTGGGGCTGTGGGTGACAGGGGCCTGTTTGCGCTCTACCCCAAGACCAACAAAGATGGCTTCCGAAGCCGCCTGCCTGTTCCTGGACCTCGGAGGGGTAATCCTCCCACTGTTCGGCGCCCATTCGCCTTGTTGTCAAGGGTTTGGGCTTTGTGCAAGGGCTGGAACTGGCGCCTAGCACGGGCCAGTCAAGGTTTAGCCTCCCGTTTGCCCCCCTGGGCCATCCACACACTGGCCAGCTGGGGCTTGCTTCGTGGTGAAAGGCCCAGTCGGATTCCACGGCTGCTACCACGCAGCCAGCGCCGACTTGGTCCTCCTGCCTCCCGCCAGCCACCACCAGGGGCCTTAACTGGGCGGAGATCCCGGACGCGCCAGTTCCGGGCCCTGCCTCCCTGGAGGTAACCAACTCCAATCTTTCCTGCCCAAATCTAGAGCAGCGAGCACTTTATCTCCCAGGACTCAGTGATGGTTTTTTTTTTTCAGTCCCCAAGTCCTCTCCTTCCTTCCACCCCTCCTCCCTCAGCATGTCCCCCCACCCCCAGGCCAGCCCAGCCTCTGGGGCCTTTAGACAGGCAGCCTCCTCCACCATAGAGCCCACAAGTCACACTTTGTGTTCTCCTGACCCCTAAGTTATTGCTGTTCTCCCACTGTGTGTGTGTTCATCCTCACCCTCATTGACTCAGGCCTGGGGCCAGGGGGGTGGGGTGGGAACAAAATTACAGTTTTTTTGTTTTTTTGTTTTTTCTCCTCTTTGATTTTGTTTTTCTGTCTCCCTTCCAACCTGTCCCCTTTCCCCTACCAAAAAAAAGAAAAAGAAAAAAAGAAAAAAAAAGAAAAAGACAAACACAAATAAAATATCTGAGCGGAACTATACCTTTGGCCCAGGCTGCCTCTGTCTGCTTTGTCCTGCCGCCTAGCCTTCCTGGTTTGCCCCCAATCTGGACCCTTGGCCCCCAGCTCCATGACCTCTTCACCCCATCTGCGTTATCTCAATTCCTTTCACTCCTCAACCTCATCCTCTGCCTTCATAGCTTCATCACACCATGACCACTACCAGCCCTGGGCTGTGGGTCCCTACAGAGCTGCCCCAGAGCCTCCTGGTCCCATCACTTGCTTATTTGTGGGTTCCTTCCCGAGAGCCCTTAGGGCCCAAGTCCTTAGGTCTCTTCATCCTCGGTCTTTTCCCCAACCCATTGCCTACTGGGTTCCCTTCTGTTTGGGAGCTGCATCTCTTCCCTGCATCAGGCATTAGCCTAGAGGGTTGGGGGATGGGACCACAGACCCTCCACAGTTGAGGGTGGTGGGCTGGGGCCCAGTTAAGAGTGTGGGAGCCATGGGAGGGGTTGGGCACGGAGTGGGAGCTGAGTTTGTAGGGCCAGGCTGGAATGTGGATCTGGTCCAGGTGGCAGATGCTGCCTGTTGAACATGTCAAGCCCTTTCTGGCCACCTCCTTTGCCCCCTTTCCCTCTGTGGCCCAAAGTGGGCAAACCTTTCTTATCCATTTCTCAGCTCGGTGCTTTTCCTTCCCTGTCTTCCTCCCTGAGGTTCTGGACCTGGGCCTTCCTCTCTCCTTAGTTGTGCTGCCTTCTGTGGGTGTTCTGTGTGACTCAAGTCTTCTCACTTAGTCCTTTGCACATTCTTATGTTTGCTCACATGCTCCTATCCGGAGGTCATATTTTCTCCCTTGTTGCATGGTCAAAGCTTCTTCTGTGTTCTCAGTCCTCTAAAGATTCTCAGTACCCTGTCCATGAACTCTGATGTTCCTTCCCGTGGCATTCCACCCACTCTGGATGTACCCTTGGAATCTGTCTTGTTTTCTTGGCATCTCTTGCCCATCAAGACCTTCCTGATCTGTCTCAACACCATCCCATCTTTCCATGTCTGTCTGTATACAGCTCCCCCCGCCCCCTCTGTCTAACATGTTTTCTGTTTCTCTCCCTCTCCCTGTCTCTGCTTCTGTCTCCTTCCTCCTCTTCTCTCCCTTTCCCCTGGTTGTTCCTTCTCTTCCTCTTCCTCTCCCCTGCCCCCATTTCCCCTTGATCATCCGCTGCATAGTCGAAGGAGCTGCAGATCAAGAAGCAGTTCCAGGAGACGTGTAAGATCCAGACCCGGCAGTACAAGGCTCTGCGGGCACACTTGCTGGAAACTACACCCAAAGCTCAGCACAAGAGCCTCCTTAAGCGGCTCAAGGAAGAACAGACCCGAAAGCTGGCGATCTTGGCGGAGCAGTATGACCAGTCCATCTCAGAGATGCTCAGCTCACAGGCGGTGAGGCCTGGGGACCTGAGAGGGAGACAGTGGAGGTTGGCCTCTGTATTTCCAACTTAGTTAACGGGCAGTGGAAGGTGGGAGGTACGGACAAAAAGGATGAGCCTTTTTATGCTTGGAAAACTGATAATGCTTTCACTGTTGGTGTTCTCCCCAAAGGTTTTGTTATTTCATATTCTCGATGGTTTTACTGTTTCTCTTAGCATTTTCTTAAGGTCTTGACAAAGCCATCCTATCTACTCTACAAAGAACCACCAAGGAAAAGAGTTGGCTATAATTTTTTCCTGGGCCTGAGTTAGTTTATAACTATGTGAACAGGGAGCAGATTATAGTGAGTGTGGCCCTTGGGGCTCATTTACTCAAAACTTCAGGAGATTTGGAAGGTTGCTGTTCTAAAAACTAACCACATGCATCACTGGAGTGGGCAGCTTAAAACGTACATGGAGTATAAGCGGTCAGAGGGCCCCATTCTCACCCAGTTGCACCTCTCAGAGGTAACTTGCCAATGATAACTGTTTTGTAGATGTTTCCCAATGCATATTTGGAAAATTACAAATATTAAATACAAATGGAATTATACTTTGCATACTCCTCTCTTTTTCCCCCTTAATTTTTTTTGGACCTGGTTACATATCAGTACATATACTTTTTTTTTTTTTAAATAATATAGAATTTGGTGTTTTTGTTTTATCTTGTTTTCCTGAGACAGGGTCTCACTATATAGTCCAGGCTGACCTCAAATTCAGAATCTTCCTCCCTTGGCCTCCTGAGTGCTGGTGTCACTGGGTGAGCCACCAAGCCCAGCTACAATGTAGAATTTTCCCTAGTATGGATGTATCATAAATTTATTTAACCCATCCCTTATTGGTGGACATTTAGGTTGTTTCCAGCATTTTGCTATCCCAACGCTTCCGTGAACACCTCGAGCACTTGTGCAAGTATACCTGGGGGATAAATTCCTGCAAGTGTAATTGCTGTGCCACAGGGTATGATCATCTTCCATTCTGATAGACGTTGAGACCGCTGCTTCTTGCCACCTTAGGGCCCAGGCCTACCTGGGGCAGGGGAGGACGGTGGGGGAAGGGGAAGAGGTCCCTAAAACTGGTTCTTGCTGCCCTCCAGCTCCGGCTTGATGAGACCCAGGAGGCAGAGTTCCAGGCCCTGAGGCAGCAGCTTCAACAGGAGCTAGAGCTGCTTAACGCCTACCAGAGCAAGATCAAGATCCGCACCGAGAGCCAGCACGAGCGGGAGCTGCGGGAGCTAGAGCAGAGAGTAGCACTGAGGCGGGCACTGCTGGAGCAACGGGTAAGGGTCTCTGCCTCCAGGGTGAGGTATGGAGGGCAAGCTCCCCATTCTGAGACTCTCACCCCTCTTCTGGGTACCCCAGGTGGAAGAAGAGCTGCTGGCCCTGCAGACAGGGCGCTCCGAGCGAATACGGAGTTTGCTTGAGCGGCAGGCCCGTGAGATCGAGGCCTTCGATGCTGAGAGCATGAGACTGGGCTTCTCCAGTATGGCTCTGGGGGGCATCCCAGCTGAGGCTGCTGCCCAGGGCTACCCTGCCCCACCTCCTGCCCCTGCCTGGCCTTCCCGCCCTGTCCCCCGCTCAGGGGCCCACTGGAGCCACGGCCCTCCCCCACCAGGCATGCCCCCCCCAGCGTGGCGCCAGCCAGCTCTGTTGGCTCCTCCAGGTCCCCCAAACTGGCTGGGACCCCCATCACAGAGTGGGGCACCCCGTGGTGGAGCTCTGCTGCTACTAAGAAACAGCCCCCAGCCCCTGCGGCGGGCAGCCTCGGGGGGCGGTGGCAGTGAGAACGTGGGCCCCCCTGCCGCTGCAGTGCCTGGGCCTCTGAGCCGCAGCACCAGTGTTGCTTCCCACATCCTCAACGGATCCTCCCACTTCTATTCTTGAAGTGCAGGGTGGTGAACAGAGGACTGGGGCCGGGTGGGGGTGGGTAGAGCCTGATCCTGGCAGGCTATCAGCTTGAGGCCCACCCAAGGGTGGTGGGACAGGATGCTGGCTCAGCTCCCCTCAGACCTCATCTCATGAGATTCTTGGGGCTGGCCAGTAGCCCCACACCAGCTTGGGCATCAGTGCTCTAAGGCTGACCAGGAGCCTTGCCTCCCCACCATGGTGCCAGGGTCTCCCTCCGGAACCACCTGGGCAAGGAGGGAGCTGTGCGTGTCAAATATTCATCTGGTTCCCTGGGGGAGGGAAAGGGCGGGTCTAGATATATTATATTCAGAGAACTATACTACCCTTGCAGTGGGGCTGTGGACTGGGGATGACAGGGCCCCAGACCTGTGGTGTGGCAGAGCAGGACTGGAGCCCAAGGTCGGGAGAGTGGGTGAAAGCCTTCCGTGGGAAGGACCTGAGGTGGGGTGAGGTCTGGATGCCTAGGTCTCCAATCCCCCATTGCTGTCTGACGTCCTGTGCCGTCTTGTCCTTTTTTTTTTTTTTTTTTTCCAATTGGGATCAGGGCTGGGGCAGGGAACAAGGGAAGTACCTTGGAAAAGGGCTGCTCCCCGGCTGGGTGCAGTTACGGGAGCCCCCTCAGCTGTGGGGCTGGCACCGAGCCCCAAGACAAGCTTTTAATAAACTGTTGGTTATTCTAACAGATCCCAGGACTCACCTTTTTGTCGAAGGTACATATGAAAGACAGTTCAATGGCAAATGATACTGTCTAAAAATGAATTTAACCACCGGGTGCTGGTGGCTCACACCTGTAATCCTAGCTACTGAGATCTGCGGATTATGGTTCAAAGCCAGCCTGAGCAGGAAAGTCCATGAGATTCTTACCTCCAATTAACTACCAGAAAACTGGAAATGGAGCTGTGGCTCAGAGTAGTAGAGTGTTAAGCTTGGACAAAAAAGGTTCAGGGACAACACCTAGGCCCTGAGTTCAAGCCCTATGACCAACAATAAAAAAGTGAATTTAGCTGAGTATTGGTAGCTCACACCTGTAATCCTAGCTGACACTATCAGGAGACAGATCTGAGGATCCTTCAAAGCAAGCATGGCTAGGAAACTCCTTGACACGCTTATCTCCAATAAATTATCAGAAAAAGCCAGAAACCAGGTGCTGGTGGTTCATGCCTGTAATCCTAGCTACTCAGGAGCCTGAGATCTGAGGATCGTGGTTCAAAGCAGCTTGGGCAGGAAAGTCCATGAGATTCTTAACCTCTAATTAACTACCACAAAACTAGAAGTGGAGCTGTGGCTCAGAGTAGTAGAACACTAGCATTGAGCACAAAGAGACTCAGGGACAGTACCCAGGTCCTGAGTTCAAGCCCCAGGATTGAAAGCGAGGGGGGAGGGGGAGGGGAGGGGAGGCAGAAATGGCCCTGTGGCTTAAGTGGTAGAGTGCTGACCTTGAGCAAAAAGCAGTTCAGGGACAGTGCTCAGACCCTAAGTTCAAGTCCCAGGACTGGCTGTGTAACCAAAACTTACAGTGGTATTAGTGACTTCAGGCCTAACTGGATCCAGGGACTCAAAAGCAGGCCAATCTCTTGATCTCAAATTCCTCTGCTTGCCTTTGCTTTGGTTTCAAAGATTCTCAGAAGGTCTAGTTAAAGCCCAGACTCCCAGAGTGTCTCCCCACCTTACTAGCCTCCTAACAGCAAGAGTTCCCTCACAGGTCTGTAGGACGACCCTAACTGATGAGTTAGGTCTCTCTCATCTGTTAAAGGCTGAGAGCGAGCCCTGGGCTAACTAAACAGCAAAGGAGGATGACAATCACCAGCTGTGCCAGTTTGTGTTTCACATTCTAAGGCCAGTTATTCTGATCTTCCAACTGGACATTAGTTAGCAGCTGTATCTTAACATTGATCAGAGAGGGGTCCACTGGTCAAGGTGGGGGAAGGTTAGGAGCCATACTGCTGATACGGCCTGGTAACAGACCAGACAACAGGGTCCAGGGACTGGGGGCCCAGTAAGGAACCAGACCTCTGGCTACTAGCAGCAGTAGCTTATCTTCAGGTTCCTGGTTCCCAAAGTACAGGGGATAAGAGTCGGGGGCTGGTTCTGATGTAATTATAAACATTCCTTTATTGAGTCTTAAAAAATAACCCCTGTAGACACCCTAAACAGAGAATGTGAAGAAAAATAATATACCGAGATTTTGAGGGCTTCTGTCTTCTCTGAAGGCTGCTTCCTGCTCTGCAGGCTCAGCAGGGGTGCTATGTACACTTTGCACAGGTGGTGGGAGGACCTTCCTGAAGGGCAAGGGTATGGGGCTCAGTTACTCTCGCCGTCACTGCTGATGATGCCACGCATATGGGACCAGTCTGGGGGTGCCTGACGAGGCCGCTCCTCCTCTGAGTCTATGGTCCGGCGGTATAGCTCCCCTGGGGGTGTTGCTTCTCCTGAAGGGTTCCAGGCAGTACGTCTGCGAGGCCGGCCTGGGGACAAGTGAACAGATCAGTTGTCAGTCAGACCTTTTGCTCTCCTGGGCAGAAGGGAAGCAAGACTCTGACCTGAACCACTGATGATGTTGGCCACATCCAGTGACGCCACCTCAGCTGCTTCTTCCCGCTTCTCCTTTAGTGCCCGACATTTCTCTAAGGAAGGATTGCCTGTGGCAGAAGCAGCTCATGAGCCTCTCCTCCCACAAAGCCCAGGCCTTCCCTCTCCCAGCCTCCAGGGCACACCTCACTTTACCCTTCATGCCCAGGGCTTCCAGCTCAGCGCGGAGTACATTCAGACGCTCCTTGTGTGAGTGACAGGAACCCAGGAGCTTCTTGTAGTTTCGATGGGCGCCACAGGCCCGAATGTAGCGTTTTAGTCTCATCACTGCTGGGTGGTCCTCTCCACGGCGACCAGAGCCAGCCTACCAAGGAAGGAGCAGCTGGAAGCCAAGGCTCCTGGGCTGGAGTCAAGGTCTCCCTCTTCTCTCATGGTGGCCTCCCACCCTGTCTGCATCCTCACCTTGCCACCCTTGGACTCTGGACTTTCATCTGAAGAGGAAGATGAGCTTCGTGTCCTGCCTTTCTTGGAGTTCTTGGAAGAGCGGTTCTTTCTCTCCCGCTTGGGACTTGTCCCTTCCTCACCGTCACTCACCTCCCTCTCTGTGTCACTGTCCTCACCATTGCCACTGCCCAAGCTGGTTGTCTTTGCAGTGCCTTGAACAGTTACTGGCACCGTCCCGCTGTCTTCATCCTCACTGCTTCCACTTTGTATTCTATCCTTACACACAGTCCTGTCCACATTCTTGGTCTGCGCGAGAGGCTCTTGGTTATCCCCACTGCCAGCTGCCTCTTTCTCCTCTTCCTCACTCTGCCCCAAGTCGCTCACTAGTGTCCCTGCCCTGCTTTTCTGCTTACAGTTTCTCCCTTTCTGTGCTGAACTTTCCCTAATGGTTCCAGCTCTGGGCTTCCAAACACCCTCCTCCTCTTCCTCCTCACTGTTCTTTTTTTTCTTGGCTAGGCTCTGCTCCTCCTCATTTTCACTTTCCCGGTGGCTTTTAGCTTCTCCACGGCCCCCTGCCTGCTTTGCTTTCCTCTGGATCGGTTCTTCCTCACTGTCTTCACTGTCTTCCCTGGTCTGCTTCTTGGCTGAGGCCTTGCCTGTTGCCTGCTTTTTCTTGGTCCCAGGTTTCTTCCTGCTCCTGCTCTCACTGTACTCCTCACTGCTTTCTGATCCTGTCTTTGCCATCATGTCCCTTTGTGGTTCTTCATCACTGCTCCCAACTACTTCCTTTGAGGCTCCAGTTGGATTTTCCTTCTCCTTGGCTGGGGATGCCAAGCAGCCTGGGCTGGAGGCTGCAGAGCTGGACTCTGCAAAGAAGACAGGGTTAGGTTGCCTCGTCTCTCGAGATGGATGGAAGGTCAAAATGAAACATAGCTATTATCCCTCCACCTTATTCCTGGTTCCTGACTCCTCGCCTTGTCAACTAATGCTCTGAGACATAATACATGAATTACAATAGCTTTTTGAGCCAGGTGCTGGTGGCTGTAATCCTAGCTACTCAAGAAGCTGAGATCTGAGGATCACAGTTCAAAGTAAGCCCAGGCAGGAAAATCTGTGAGACTTACCTCCAATGAACCACCAGAAAACCGGAAGTGCTGCTGTGGCTCAAAGTGGTAGAGCGCTAGCCTGGAGTAGAAATGCTAAGGGACAGCACTCAGACCCTGAGTTCAAGCCCGATGACTTATGATAAATGAATATCTTTTGAGTCCATGATGGAGGGCACAGGTGCTGGGGCACAGAACTAACCTGACTCTGAATTAAAGCGAGATCTTTTTCTTGCTGGGTCACTGGAGGAGTTGGGCGACCTCTTCAACTTCTTGGTGAGGTCTAGCTTCTCTTCCCTCATTGCGGCGTCATCTGCCTGTATGTGCACATTGGGCAGACACACCATGATTATGTCCTGCCCCACCCCCTCAGCAACAAACCTTGCCTCCCAAGCCCAGGTTGGTGCCCACACCAGCATCTGCAGTAGCTCCTCCTCCACCAGCCTCTTCAGCACCTGCTTCTCCTCGGGTTCCAAGTGGTCGCGGCCCACGTGGGCCAAGTACTTCCGCCGCACGACGGAGTGTGTGGTCGTGCTAGAGAGACAGGTGTCAAGACCGAGTCCCACCCTGCCCACCCAACCCCAGCTCTTAAGTCCCCCCAGGCACCTGAGGTCAGGTCGGCCCCTGAAGAAACTGCGCGTGAACTCCCTTAGCTCATCCTCCCGCGCCATTTTGCCCCACCTGGGATTGGTGGCTCCCGCCTTTTTGGGGGGGCGGGGCACTCCTCGGAGCCTTTTACAGCAGCTTGCGCACGCGCACCCGCAGCACTCCCGGGCGAAGGGCCGTTGGACCTCGGTCTCGGACCCCTGGGGCTGAAGACTTGGCCGTGCAAACCTTCCTTCCCTTGGGCAGTTGGTGGATCTCGCGGGCCCCGTCCCTAGTGGAACGAATCGTCTTTGAAACGTTCTCGGTAGAAAACAATTCGGCGCCGGCAAAACCTTTGAGACGTAATCAGCTCGCGACGCTGCCGTCCTCCAAGGTCTCGTGCAGCCAGCGGGGCCTGCTGTTATCTCGAAAGGCAGAAGAAGGAACGGAGTCTCTTGCCAAGACCTTAGGACTCTCGGAGGGAAACCTTGTGGGCCCAACTCGCCGAGCACCTTTAGGATCAGTAACGTCGCCCTCCGGCGTCCGCCATCTTTGTGACGTCACCTGCCGCGGCCACACCATCTTCAGCGTAGCCACTAGAAGCGGCGTGCTTCCCCCGTCTTCCCTCAGGCGGGGGCGGTCCTTGCGTCTACGCTCCCTGTGCGCGGGGTACGCTGGGAGCTGTAGTCCGATGGGCCCGGCCTTGCCGAGTCCCCGGAAGTGGCCGCGTGAGAGGCCGAGCTGAGCCGGTTCGGGGTAGCGGGACTCCGGGTACTGGGGCGCTGCTCCCGCGCCGGTCATGAACGGGCCGGCGGACGGCGAAGTGGACTACAAGAAGAAATATCGGAATCTGAAGCGGAAGCTCAAGTTCCTCATCTACGTGAGTGCCGGTGTTGGGAGGTTGTGGAGTGCAAGGCCTGCCGCTGGGAAGACCTCAGTTTACCCATGTGTAAAGGGGAGCCGGAGTGAGCTGTCTTCAGGGTCTGGACCTCTTAACCAGCCGCCCCTGACTAAGCGCCTACCCTACCTGTGTTACAGGAACACGAGTGCTTCCAGGAGGAGCTCAGGAAGGCGCAGAGGAAATTACTAAAGGTGTCCCGGGACAAGAGGTGAGGCACGGTGCGGGGCACGGGCGGTAGGACTGCTGGAGACCCACGTCTGGCCCTGTCTTGGCATAGGACCGTAAGTGCTTGGGATCTTAGGATCCAGTGATTCTTCTAGAAGGGACAGGGGCTCACAAGATCAATGCTGAGATGAGAAGATTCACACTCTTCCCACCCCTTCCTCAGTTTCCTTCTAGACCGACTTCTGCAGTATGAGAACGTGGATGAGGACTCTTCTGGTGAGCAGGGTCATGAAAATTTGGAAGACAAGGCTCCTGGCACTTCAAGTCTTCTTGGTCCCATCCTGTGGAAGCTGATGCAGCCTCCAATGGCACTTAAACCTAGCTAGTTGCCTCTACCATTCAGAGAGAGAGAGAGTGTGTGTGTGTGTGTGTGTGTGTGTATGTATGTACATATATGTACACGTATGTGTGCACGCACACTGCTATTGGGGCCTGGGTGCTGTCCCTGAACTTTTTTGTTCAAGGCTGGCACTCTGCCAGTTAAGCCACAGCTCCACTTCTGGGGTTTTTTTGATGGTTAATTGGAGGTAAGAGTCTCATGGCTTTTCCTGCCCCAGCTTGCTTCAAACCAAAATCCTTAGAACTCTCCCTCCTGACTGGCTAGGATTACACTTCATTCTGATACTTTTTAAACTGGTTTTTTCCTCCTTTTAATGCTGATCAAACTGATAAATTGATTTCATGGCCTCTAATGAATCCCACAGGTTGAAAAGATGGAAGGTGAGAATTTGTAACCCTTTTGCAAGTGGGAATCACATAAATAACTTCTCTTCAGGCCCTTTAACTATTGGCCTAGGGCAGATATAAAGCAAATAAGAGCTAGTTTTTGTAAGTAATGTTTTGATGCACCGCATAACCCCCATTCTTTAATTAGTATAGGAGAATTGTAGGTAACAGCTAGAGAAATTGAGACCAGGGTGTATAGGCCATAAGAAGTTTCCCTTTTATTCTGGCCCCTCATTCCCTGCTGTTCCCATCCCTAAGGCCGTCTACTTAGCTTTCTGTCTGAGGGGTACTTCAGGACCAGAAGCCTGAGAACCTAGCACAGTAAGTCTGAAGAGCAAAAGCCAAAGATTTAATCTGCCACCGTGGAGGAGCACACAATCTGATCATGCCACCTCCTAGCACAGTGTGAGAAAAGGGTTCTAGGAGGGTTAGCAGTGAACTAGCTCTGGGGAGTTCTGCAACCAATCTCTCAGAGGACATATTCAGTCTGAATGTACACACCTGTAATCCCAGCACTGTGGAGGCTGTGAGTTTGTGACCAACCTGAGTCACATAGGGGAACCTTGTCTCAAAAATGTATCAGGTATGGGCTGGGAAGGTGGCTTAGTGGTAGAGTGCTTGCCGTGCATGCATGTGGCCCTGGGTTCAATTCCTCAGCACCACATAAGCAGAAAAAGCCAGAAGTGGTGCTGTGGCTCAAGTGGTGGAGCACTAGCCTTGAGCTGAAGAGCTGAGGGACAGAGTTCAAGTCCCACGACCAGCAAAAAAAAAAAAAAAAAATACCAGGTGCCATTGGTTCTCACCTGTAATCCTTTTAGGCCCACGGTCTGAAGCTAGCCCACGACCAGAAAAAAAAAAAGAAAAAGTGGAGCTGCAGTTCAAGTAAGCCTTGAACCCAAAAAATAAGTTCAGAGATACCACCCCGGCCCTGAATTCAAACTCCAGTATATACAAGCGCCACCCCCCCCAACCAAAGAAAGAACAGAAGTTGAGGATAGTATATATTGTGTATAGCTATTATTAGGTGAATGATGGTCCTTCTAGGCAGAAGTACTGAACTTTTTTTGAAGAAGAAGGTTGCTGTGAAGTAAAAAGTTTTGGGGAGATGGCATATAACACATCTTACCAAGCATGAACAAGAAAGACTCCTGGTTCCATCCCCAGCACCACCTCTCTACTGAGAGGCCAGAAAAATAGGTTGAGGCTCGTAGCACTGCCACTATAAGCAGTAGGTAGCACCATCAGGAAAAGGTGTGATCAGGTTTTTAGGTTGGACTGTGGCCTAATACGGGGAACCCTTTTTTTTTTTTTTTTTTCCTGTCAAGGGCCATTTAGGTAATATACCATCATTTGCGGACCATCAGAATTACCAATTCAGGCAGATAACCTTAGGTAGCATGCAGATGAGTCAGTGCTGTCATGTACCAAATGATTTTATGGGCCAGACCCCAGGCCAGACATTCCCCACCCCGTTAGACAGTGGGGTAGCAGGGAGTAGTGAGCAGGTGATATTGATGTGGTGGCCTGATGTGGCCATTGGAATGGGGGAGCCGTGGGTGAAAGGTCAAGTTTGAGGGATGGATTTAACAGGATCCCATATATGGGCAGTGAAGCAAAGGCAGGACTGAGAGCAGCGAACAAGGTGAGAGGCATAAAATGACCAAGGTGTCACACACCTGGGTTCAAGTCCTAGCCCCGAGCCTGGTTTTCTGGGAAGTAGAGGCGACTCCTCCTTTCTCCTTGGTGGGTAAGGAAGCCTAGCACACAGCAGGTGCTTAGCAAACAAGTAATGGAGGAGCAGGGAGTAGGTTGTGAAAAGTAGGGGTACTGCTGGTCTCCCCCAAAACTGCACGCAGGCATGTATGCCAGCTGGGGAGCATGCTTCCCTTCTGTTGAAGTTAATGGCACCCAGCCCCCAGTGACCAGCCCTCCTCCCACAGACTCCGATGCCACGGCGTCCTCAGATAACAGTGAGACAGAGGGGACACCCAAATTGGACACACCAGCTCCCAAGAGGTAAGCCAGTGTTCGGCGGGGCGGGGTGGGGGCAACCTGGACCCTCTGGCTACCTCTGACCTCCTCCCCTGTCCTTTGTCTAGGAAGAGAAGCCCTCCGCTAGGGGGAGCCCCCTCCCCCTCCAGCCTCTCCCTGCCTTCTTCAACAGGGTTTCCCCTTCAGGCTTCTGGGGCTCCCTCCCCATATCTGAGCTCGGTGAGTGGGGTCAAGGCGGGGAAGTAGAGGACTGGTGTGGGGGTGTGGGTGTCTGGACCAGAGGTTAGGACTTGGGGTGAAACCTCCCTGCCCGGGAGACCATCTGGCTGGGTGTACCAGCAAGCATCCATGGAGGGAGAGGCGGGGCTGTCCGCTTCTCTCCCATGTAGGAATCAGGGACAGACATGCCTGAGGAGAACGGAGCCAGGACATGGTCCTGCTGCTGTCCCTCCCCTTCTGTTCTCAGGAACCCTGGAACCACACTCATCACCATCTCTTTTGTTTTTCCATTCTTCTCTTGTGTGCATTTCTTCCCTTCACCCCTCACCCTGACCCCCTCCATTTCCCATCTCCACTCCCCACCCCCACCAGCAGCTGGCTTCCCCTCCTTACCCCCCATTCCCTTCTGACTACCTGGCCCTGCAGCTGCCCGAGCCCAGTCCCCTGAGGCCCAAGCGGGAGAAACGGCCCCGCCTGCCCCGGAAACTCAAGGTACCCTGATTTGGGAATGCTAGGGAGGGGCACAATGGCAGGACAGCCGTCTGAGGGAGGCTCAAGATGGACTTGGGGTATCATTCCAGGAATTTTGAATGTTGGATTTGGGATCATAGGATAAGACACTTAGGGGCAAAGCAGAGAAGTCCTGGTTCACAGGTTCCTTTTGGAAACAAAGGTGGGCAGTCAGCCTTCTGGGTCTGGGATTGAAGAGACCTGGGGTCCTGCCTGTGTCACAGGGCCAGAGTATGGCATGAATCCTGTGTGATACCAAACAACCCCATGGCAGCCAGAATTGAGGGATATAGCCTGTCCCAGTTAAAAGCCATATGACTTAGGCCAGGTGCAGAAGCTCACACCTGTAATACCAGCTATTTGGGAGGCAAAAATAAGAAGTGTTGTTCGAGGCCAGCCAGGGTAAAGTTAGTGAGTGAGACCTCATCACACTCAGCAAGCATGGTGTAGAGTGCACCTGTCACCACAGCTACACCATCAGTATAGGTAGGAGAATCTTGATCTGAATACAGCCCTAGGTAAAAAAAGGAAAATAACATGGGAAATGGGCCTAGGCAGGGGCATTACTCAAATGGTAGATTTGTCTGCCTAGCAAAGGTGAGGTTCTGAGTTCAAACCCCAGTGTTGCCACCCCAAACAGAGAGGGGAGGGGGGTGGGGGAAGAAAGCAAAGCATTCTGGGAATGTGGCTTAGTGGTAGAGTGCTTGCTTAGCATACATGAAGCCCTGGGTTCGATTCCTCAGTATCATATCAGCTGAAAAAGCCAGAAGTGGTGCTGTGGCTCAAGTGGTAGAAGGCTAGTCTTGAGCAAAAGAAGCTCAGGGACAGTGCCCAGGCCCTGAGTTCAAGCCCAGAACTGGCAGAGAGAAAGAAAGAGAGATGAATGACTTGGGGCAGGCCTCTGGGACAGTCCAGGTCTTGTAGATTCTGTTCTGTATTGTGGGTGGCCACAGCTGCACGGTGAACAAAGCAGGCAGAACCCTTCCCCCCAGAACAAGTGCAGAAGATGCAGTGGGTACCAGGTCCCAGCGGAGAAAGCCATGATTGAGGCAGGAGTGGGGCACTCAGCAAGAGAGCTATGTAAAGTTAGTACTCTAGGGTGAGGCTTACAGGAAATGATATAAGCAGGGCACTTGCACAGGAGACTGAGACCTAGATGACTGAAGTTCAAAGCCAGCCCCTGTAACCCTACCTAATCAGAGGCTGAGATCTGAGGATCATGGTTTGAAGCCAGTCCAAATCCCAAGAGTCTTTTATTTCCAATTAACCGTCAAAAAGCCAGAAATGGAGGTATGGCTCAAGTGGTAAAGCACCAGTCTTGAGTGAAAGAACCAAGCCAGAACTTGAGAGATCTTGAATTCAAGCCCAATATAGTAGCAACAGGAAGAGGAGGAGAAGAGGAAGAGGAGGTTGAGGAAGAGGAGGAGAAAATTGTAGGGGCTGGGAATGTGGCTTAGCAAGTGCTTGCTTACGATGCATGAATCCCTGTGTTCCTCAGTACCACATAAACAGAAAAAACCGGAAGTAGCACTGTGGCTCAGATGGTAGAGTGCTAGTCTTGAGCACAGAAAGGCTCAAGGACAGTGCCCAGGCCCTGAGTTCAAGCTCCAGGAATGGGCAAAAAAAAAAAAAAAAAGGAAAAGACTGTAGTAGGAGCAGGTTCTGGAAGGCCTTGGCGGCCCTATGAAAATTTAAGTAGACTGCTGTATATATAGGCCTGGGGCTCATGGTACTTATTTGGAAGTCGTTAGCACAGAGGGAAAAAGAGAGAGCTGGGCCTAGAGCCCTAGGAACCAGCGCAGGACACAGTTGTAAGCTGGACAGCTCTCAGGTCTCTGAAGCCACTAAGCAAAAGGTGAAGGTGTGGCCTCTGAGAGCCGACATGTAGCTCAGCTGTAGAATTTTAGCCTGGCATGCATCAAGCATGAGTTTGACCTGAAAATCAGGGTGATGCTACTGGCCCCTGCTGGGAGGAATAGAGCAAGGTAGGTTTAAAAAAAAAAGCAAGTAGCCGGGCGCCGGTGGCTCACGCCTGTAATCCTAGCTACTCAGGAGGCTGAGATCTGAGGATCGCGGTTCAAAGCCAGCCTGGGCAGGAAAGTCCGTGAAACTCTTATCTCCAATAAACCACTAGAAAACCGGAAGTGGCGCTGTAGCTCCAGTGGTAGAGCGCTAGCCTTGAGCTAAAGAGCTGAGGGGCAGCGCTCAGGCCCAGAGTTCAAGCCCCACAACCAAAAAAAAAAAAAAAGCAAGTGACAGGAAGACAACAAGGAACAGACAGGGAAGTGTGGCATAGACATGGGTTGTTGGTAGCTTGCTACTTGATGCGTTGTCTTGAGGTAAAAGGAGATCAGGAAACTAAGCTGGAGATACACAGAAGAGAACAGAGCTGGGTGCTGGTGCTCATACCTATAATCCTCCCCACTCAGAAAACTGAGATCCAAGCATCAAGGATCTAAGCCAGCCTGGGCAGGAAAGCGTATAGCGTATGCGACTCCTAGACGCCTTATCTCCAGTTAACTAAGGAAAAGCTAGAAATGGAGCTATGGCTCAAGTGGTAGAACACCAGGCTTAAGAAAGAAAGCTAGCCGGGTGAGGGTGGCTCACGCCTATAATCCTAGCTACTCAGGAGGCTGAGATCTGAGGATGCAGTTCAAAGCCAGCCTGGGCAGGAAAGTCTGTGAAACTCTTTATCTCCAATAAACCACCAGAAAAACCAGAAGTGGTGCAGTAGCTCAAGTGGTAGAGCGCTAGCCTTGAGCTGAAGAGCTGAGGGACAGCGCTCAGGCCCAGAGTTCAAGCCCCATGACTGACCAAAAAAAAAAAAGAAAGAAAGCTAAGAGACAGCTGGCACCCAGGCCCTGAGTTCAAGCCCCGCTACTAGCACCCAAAAAAAAAAATCCAGAATATGAGTTAACAGGAAAAGGGTAAGCAAGTAAGGTAAGAAAGTGAGGTTCCTTCAGAAGCAGAGCAGGACAAGGTGCCATGGCCCCCGCCTGAAATCCTAGCCACTCAGGAGACTGATATCTGAGGATCATGGTTTGAAACCAGCCCAAGCAGGAGGGTCAGTGAGATTCATATCTCCAGTTAACTACCAAAAAGCCAGAAGTGGAGCTGTAGCTCAAGTGGTAGAGTGCCAGCCTAGGCCAGGCATTGGTGGCTCAGGCCTGTAAATCCAAGCTATTGAGGAGGCTGAGATCAAAGCCAGCCTGCGTAGGAAAGTCTGTGAGACGGTTATTTCCACTTAAACATGGAAATGGCACTGTGGCTCAAAGTAGTAGAGCTCAGGGACAACACCCAGGCCCTGAGTTCAAGCCCAGGACCAGCATTAAAAAAAAATCTTTAAAAAAAATCAGAGCAGGCCATGGAACCAGGTATGTCACGTTAATCAGGAGGCCTTCATGGGCACCACATACTCATAGCACATTGAGACACTGCCTAGTGGGGACCTGGCAGGTCTGTTCCTTAAACTCGTATCTGAGCCTCAGTTCTCTCCTGTGGCATATGACCTCTCCTCCTATCCATGGTGGTCAAAGAAACTGGAGATCTGACAGAACTCAACTTGCACAGCGTAGGTGCTAAGTGTGTGCCCATAGCGTGAGAGCTGTGCGTGTGGACGTGTGAGGATCTACAGGCTGGCTCTGGAAGGCCCGGCAGAACCGAAGGTTGCTTTCCAGCCTCTGAGGACAAAGCAGGACTGTGTCAGATAGAGAAGGATGCTCCAGGTAGAGGGCCAGCCTGTGGTCAGGCGCACTGCACCGCTGTCCCACAGCGGAGGAGTGACATGCTCAGGTTTGTGTTCTAGAGCCATCACTCTGGCTGCAGTGTGGAGGAGGAGCTGGATCTGGGAGAGGCTGAAGGCAGGGAGTCCAGTTAGGAGGCTGGTACCTAGCCCAGGTGAGCTGAGAGGAGGGCCTGGCTGAGGCCAGCGGCTGCGGGGATCCCAGGAGGGGCCCGTGGTCCAAGTTATCATAGAAGCTTCCTGGGGAGGGCAAACAAAGCTGCCCAGGCTCTTGGCTCAGGTGGCCTCTGGTACTGTGCATTGCCTGGGAGCCCCCCCTCCAAGCCAGGAGCCCCTCAGGAGGAGGGGGAACAAGCCAGTCGTGGCAGGTGCTACCCGAGATGCCCAGAGGCAGAAGGTGGGCACTCCTTGCTGGCTTTGACTCTGGCTTCAAGTGCTGCTTCCTGGAGAGAGCAGGGCCCAACTCTTCCATTGGCTTCCTGTCAGACACCCCATCCCTACCCCCTCATCTCGCCTCCATCACTGCTCTCACCCCCAGGCACTTGTTAGCTTGAGATTGAAGGGGCTGAGGTGGGGTCAGCCCTGCCCGCAGCAGTACCCCTTCCCCCCCCCCCCCCCCACAGCTGCCTTGAACAGGCAGTTCCCAACCTCCCAGAAGCCCCAGGCCTCACTAACAAGTCCTCCCTGTGTTTCTTCCCTCTGCTACAGATGGCGGTGGGACCTCCTGACTGCCCTGTGGGCGGGCCACTGACCTTCCCTGCCCGGGGTCCTGGGACTGGGGTCGGGGCAGCTCTGACCCCCCTCCCCCCTCCTAAGATGCCCCCCCATACCATCCTGAGCACCGTCCCTCGGCAGATGTTCAGCGATGCCGGCAGTGGGGATGACGCCCTGGATGGGGATGATGACCTGGTGATCGACATCCCGGAGTGACCAGCCAGTGCCATGTGCCAGGCCCTGCCCAGCACCCCTCCCTGTGCCAGCACAAGAGCCCCAGCTTCCTCAGAGGTGTTTATTGATGCCCAGTTGCCATACTTCGGCCACTGACACAATCAGAAAAAGGCGTAAACATGCACAGTTGTCCCCTAGGAAGGGGGCAGGGGCCCTGCCCTCACATTCTGGCCCCTGCCAGGGGACAGTTATTTGAATGAGTGGCCAGGAGTATCTGCCACCTCTTATGGAGGCCGAGATCCTGTGGAGACCACCCCTTGAAAAGGGCAGCTGTACAGGGCTAGGACCTTTTTTTTTTTTTTTTTCTTTTAAATGAAGATTCTGTATTAAAGGATTGGCTCTTTTTTTTTTTTTTTTTCTTTTTTTTCCCCCCTCCTTGTACTTTTTGTTTTGGAAATCTCCTCCTGACCTCCCCGAATCCGACCTCCTCCCTGTGGGGTGGGGGTCGGGGCAGCCTGGAGAGGCAGGAGAGAGGCAGCAGGGTGGGCAGGTGGAGGGGGGGGGTGTCAGCAGGACTTCCCTCCCGTGTGCATGGAGGTGGTTTGCATATTTGCAGGCAGGAAGTTTGCATATGTGAATATAGATCTCCCCAGTCCCTCACAAGAAGACAGACCCACGGTCACGGAGACTCTCACAAAAATAAGACAGGTAGTGCAGGGCAGAGGCAGAGGCCTCATGTAAACGTGCAACACACTCGTGCGTAGGTTGGGTACTGGACCCTGCCCAGAGGGCTCGTGCTGGGCAGCTGCTGCCCGCTCAGGCCGAGGGGAGAGCGCTAGCGGCGGGGGGCAGCTCACTGGTCAGGGTGTGCCAGCGCTCCAGGGCTGTGTCCGGCTGCTGCAGACAGTCACTCCAGTGCTTCCGGGCCTCTCCTCGGGCGCCTGGCCCCAGGGACACGCCACCTGGAGTGCAGGCCGAGGGAGGGCCAATCAGGGCCCTGCTTCCTCTAGTCAGCCCTCCCTCTGTAGCAGGGCCACAGCTGAGTTCTTCCCCTCACCTATGAAGTCGTTGGATTTGCCAATGTCGTAGTCCCAGACCGTGACTTCCAGAGTCTTGGTGGCCAGAATGGAGAGCTCCATCTCATAGAAAAACTCCTGAGGACGAGATGCGCCCCATCTCTCCCTGAGGCCCTCTCCAGCCCTGCCTCAGTCCACCTCCACTTCCAGGCCCTGCCTAGGTTACCTCGTTAAATTCTGGGTTTAGAGTCTTCTTCTTCACGCACGTCTTATGCTTGGATTTCTTATCCACATCTGGTCTTAAGTACCTGGGGGGAGAAGCAGGGGCCATGTGCTTAGGGCCAGGCCAGGCCTCTGAGGAAGGGCTCTGGGATCTGGCTCCCTGGGGAGGACAAGAGTGAGGACTCACGTCTTCACATAAGGATCAGAGTAGCCATTGACGTCCATGGCAGCCAGGTGGGCACAGCGGATGACACCCACCAGCAGGCCCCTGCGCCTCGAGCTGTAGCTAAGGCTCAGCAGGATCCGCCCTCGCTCTTCCAGCAGCCCAGGGCCCTGCTCAGCCTGCTCAATCTGCAAGAGACCAATGCAGAGGTCAGCCTGGGTCTTCCAGCACCTCCCGCCCATGAAGGGCGACTGATGCTCAGGACCTCACCTCCTTCAGGTAACAGGAGATGCCCCTCAGTGCTGCTGACATGGAAGAGGGTGAAGCCAGCTGAGAGGGGAGGAAGCAAAGAGAAGGTTCTAGCAACTTCATCCACCCCAGGAGCCCCTCCCCCTGACACTCCTGCATACCCCACACACAGACCGGGACCTGACGCTCAAGGCAAATGTTAAAATGCTTCTTCTGTGAGGGCTTGAGGCGGCGCAGGGGTACTCGGATCTCCCCAATGAATTCATTGTGGCTCAGCTTGTCCTCATCACAGACGGAGATCCTGGTGAAGAATGACAGGGTCAGGACCCCCTGGGTATCAGGGACCCTGCCCTGGTGTGAGAAAGATGGAGAAAAACCTTAGATTACTCGCAGCTCTGCCCTCACTCTACACCTCAGCTGTAAAATGGGTGAGAACTCGGGAAGAAGAATGAGTCTGTCTATTCCCTGCCCTGCGCTCTCCGGTCCAGCTACAATCTGCTCAGACCTGGGGGCTTGCTCCCATTCTAACCCTGGAGACAGGAGCTGATGGATCACCACAGACGTGCCTGGTGGATGTGGCCACAGGTGAGACCTAGATGGGCCAAAAGCACACCCTCAGGAGCCATTACCTTCCCCCGTCTCTCCCAAGCCTGGGTTTTGCTGCTTCACTATCCTTGAGAAAGCCTCTCCTTACTGCTCCCTGTGCTGGAGCGTTAGCAAGCTTCTTGGCCCCCAATGACTCCTTCCATCCTTAGATTTATTTATTTATTTTTTTTTTGGGTCCGGTCATGGGGCCTGAACTCGGCCTGGGCGCTGTCCCTCAGCTCTTCAGCTCAAGGCTAGCGCTCTACCACTTGAGCCACAGCGCCACATCCGGCTTTTTTCTTTTTGCTTATGTGGTGCTGAGGAATCGAACCCAGGGCCTCAGGCATGCAAGGCAAGCGCTTTAACCACTGAGCCACCTTCCCAGCCCCTCCATCCTTAGATTTATGGGGAGGGCGGGCCATGGGACAGGAGAGCCTCAGGCATGCAGACCTGACAAGTCAGGGGCTCTGGGAAGGGGTCCCAGTGACCAGAGAAAGCTCTCCCTGCCCCTCCCCCTATCTGTTAGCTTTCTCACTCAAGGCTGGTGCATTTTCCCTTGAGCCACACCTCCACTTTTGGCTTTTTGCTGGTTAACTGGAGATACCAATCTCATAGATTTATCTGCCAGGGCTGGCTTTGAATCTCAACCCTCAGATCACAGCCTCCTGAGTAGCTAGGATTATGGTCATATGTCACCAGTGCCCAGCCACAGAAAGCTTCTAAGGAGAATGATCTTGGACGAGGGCTGGCAGAGAGAAAGCTGGGAACACTCCAGGCAAAAGAGGCACAGCACATAAAGATGAGAAGTCGTTACAAAAAAAAATGGACAGAGAAGTTAGTCCTCCTTGGAGAAGCATAGGAGACGCTAGGGACAGCAATGCCAGGGAGCTATTTGAGTACCACTGATTTAAATCAAACCCAAACAGGTTACAGTGGCAGCTCCCCCAGGTAGCAGGGAGGGGCCCTTACCTGAGCACCTTGTGAGTGATGTCATCGTCTGTGATTCCGCTGTAGGTCAGGTCCTCGTTCCACACAGGATTCAGCGTGTTTCTCTGAGTCTTTGTTTTTAGCTTATTGGCCTGGAGTGTTAGGATGGAGGTGGGTTTTTTTGTGGTTTTTGTTGGTGGTGGTGGTAGTCATGGGGCTTGAACTCTGGGCCTGGGCACTGTCCCTGAGCTCTTCAGCTCAAGGCGAGCGCTCTACCACTTGAGTCACAGTGCCACTTCAGGTTTTTTCTGGTGGTTAACTGGAGATAAAGAGTGTCTCGGGCCTGGTGCTGGTGGCTCACTCCTGTCATCCTAGCTACTCAGGAGGCTGAGATCTGAGGATCTTGGTTCCAAGCCAACCTGGGCAGGTGAACCGAGATCCTTAGATCTCAGCCTCCTGAGTAGTTAGGATGACAGGCGTGAGCCACCAGCACCAGCTATGGAGGGTTTTTAATACAGGTCCCCAGGGGCTAAAGGTAGGGGCTGGAAGAATCTGAGACAGGAGAGAGAAGTCTTACCTTGCAGGCACCAGGCAAAAGATGCAGCTTGACATAGGGGTCAGCTAGGCCATTGAAATCCATGGGCTTGAGGCCCTGGAGGGGAGGAGGGCACACAGAGAAGATGGTGGGCTCTTGGCCCTGTGCTGAACCCCCCCACCAGTGCAGTACCAGGGAGGGGAAGATCAGAAGCACCCTGGGGCGGTGGGGGGGGGAGGAGGAAGGGGAGGAGATTCAGGGGCAGGGGCCTACCTTGGCCCTGAGGATTCGACAGTGCAGAGTGCAGGAGGCTTGATCATAGAGGAGGTCAAACTCCAAAGTGCCCAGAGCAGCTGCAGAAGAGGGAAAGTAGGGGTTCTTATGTGCCAAGACATGGGTGAGGTGTGTGGCCAGCACTGGAGACAGGTGTGTCGGGTCTCTCTGGGCCTGCCAATATGCCTGCAGGGCGCTGGGCGGACATATGCGTGAGCGCTTGTCTGGGTCCCTGGCTTGGCCAACTGGGGCTGTGTGGGTGGTGGAGTGTCTCAGCAGAAATATTGAATATTGAGCCTCGCTGAAGCTGTCATCTCCACCCAGATTGCAGCTGTGTGGTGGCTGGGGACTGGGCCCTATTTCCCCCACCCCCACCCCCACCCCACATCCTTCTGCACACCCAAGCCAGGCTTCCTGCCCAAGCCCTTCAAGCCCCCTGACTCACTGGTATCATCTGAGTCGTAGCTATCCACCTCAGCTCCATCCTCGGGAGTAGTGGCCCCAAGCAGGGCAGCCGGGGGCGCCAGGGCCAGCGGGGCCAGGTGGGCTGCGGCTTCCCCACGGCTCCCACCGCCGCCGCCCCCTTCGGGCCCTCCTGGGCCGCGGCGAGGGAAGTAGTCTGAGATCTGCCGGATGGGCCGGATGGGCCCGGGGCACACGTTGATGGCCATGTGCTCCTGGATGCTGATGGTCATGCGATCGCCCCTGCGGCCCCTCATGCAGCACCCCTGCATGGGGAGGGGGGGAGCCAACTGATTCCTCACACCTACCAGGATGGACAGCAAGAGGCCTGGGCCCGCCGGACCCCCCCCCCGCCCCCCGCGCCTGGCTCCTCTGGCTGGGCTGCCAGGCCGGGGTCCCCTGGTCACCTTGCCTGCCTGCCTACCTACCTACCTACCTCTCAAGTGGCCATCACTCATCTGGCGGGCTCTTTCCTCTCAGCCTGGCTCCGCTCTGCCCCTGAGCCCTGCACTCCCCGGGGCGCCTGCGGGTCCGGCGGGCCTCTGCAGCAGGCGTCGGGCCGGTGTCACCGGGTGTCACCGTGTTCTCTGGGACCCTCCATTCGGCCCGGGGATCTGCCTGCCTGATCCACCCCCCCTTCCACGTCGCACCCCCCCCCCCCCGCCCCGCAGCCCAGGGCGCAGGGACCCCTGCCTTCCTCCAGAGCGTGGATCTCCCCCCAGGGGAGTCAGAAAGGCAGCCTCCCGGAGGGAGGCCCGGACGCCCCCCGCCCTCCCCGCCCGCCCTCGCCCCCCGCCGGCCCGGCCCCTGCACCTGTGTCTGCGCCTCCAACAGGTGCCCCGGCTCCGGGCAGCGGCCGACGCAGGCTGGGCGGCGGCGGGCGGCGGGCGGCGATTCCCGGGGCGGCGGGCGGAGCGGAGTCCGGCTGTGCGCACCGCGCGCGGGGAGGGAGCGCGGAGAAAGTGCGGGAGGAGGGAGGGGGTGAGCGGGGGCGGGGAGGGGCGCGGGCTGGGGAGGGGGCGGGCCTGGCGGGCTCCCGGGGGCCACGCGTCCGCCGGGGCGCTCCGGGACGCACGCGTGCACCCCCCGGGCACGTGTGCCCGCGCTCACACACACACACACGCGTGTGCACCCGGGCTGCCACCCACGTCTGGCCCGGGCACTCCCGTGCGCACACACACGCCTGTGCCCACGTGTGCGTGCGAGCTCACACCGACGCAAGACACGCGCGGCCACACTCACCCGCCAACTTCGCAGACACGCACTCGCCACCACGCGGGCTCCCTGCGCCACGCCGATCCGGCGGCGAGAATTGCCCGGTGTTTCCCAACTCCTCCCGGGAGACCCAGGCCGCCGCCCCGCGGAGCCCGCAGCCTCCCTCCCGCCCGCCCTCCTTCCCTCCTTCCCTCCTTCCCTCCTTCCCCCTACGCTGGCGTCCAGGTCTCCAGGGCCAGACCACCAGCCCGGTTGCCATGACGACGATGGTTCATTTCCCCCCCCCCCCACCTCCTCACACCCCCTCCCTGCAGAGAGCTCGCTGGGAGGGGTGGAGGGCGTCTGTCCTCCCTCCTCCTGTCCGTAGGGGCGGGGCCTAGAGATCTGCAGTGGCCTGGGGGGTCCGGCAGGTGGGGAGGGGCATCTAATCTACCTTGGGGTTGGGGGGAGTCCTGGCCAGGCATCTGGGGGTCATCAAGCCCAGCTGAGGAGGAGACGGAGGCCCCCCAGCAGCCTCCCCAGGCCGTTCTCCATGCAGCACAACCTAGCACCCAGATTGGTGTCTCCTCCCGGATTTGCAGCACCATTGGGTACCCCCCCTCCCCCTCTCACCCCGGCTGTCTGCTGCGGCTCCTCAAGTGGCCAGGGGCTGAGAGCTTGGCCCTGAAAGCCTCCAGAACCCTGAAATCCTAATGAGGGAGCAGCCTAGTCACCCCACCTGCCGCCATCTCACCCCTAGTCTACCACCTTCCCTCTCATTGGCCACAAACATACCCTCAGAAGAAAGCCATGTCCTTACAGAGGCCTTCAAGGTCCTCAGAGCAGGGCCTCATTACTAGATCTTGTCCACTCCAGGCTGGCCGCTTTCCTGCAGTGCCCCAGCAAGTTTCTGGCCTCTGGGCTTTTGCTCAGAAGACCAGCTCTTCCTTCAAGGATCATCCAGGGAATGACCAGCTGTTCCTAGGAGCCTTCCTGGAGCTCTGGGACCCAGCTGCCCCTCAGCTCCTAGATACCTGGACAGCCCTGCTGAGTGTTGTCTGGGCCTTGTTTATGTTTGTGTGTCTCCTCTCAGCCAGGGAGTTCTGCAGAGAGCAGGGGCTGATTCATCTGAGTCCCCAGTGCCTCAGACTGGGGCTGGCTTGCCAGCATCCCTGAGTATTGAGGACTTAAGAGACAGAAATGTTGTTGTGCCTCTAGATGCCAGTGGCTCATGCCTGTAATCCTAACTACTCAGAAGCTGAGATCTGAGGATGGAGGTTCAAAGCCAGCCCAGGCAGGAAAGTCTGTGAGACTCTGATCTACAATTAATTACCATAAAACTGGGGCTCAAGTGATAGAGCACTAGCCTTGAGCTGAAGAGCTGAGGGACAGTGCCAGGCCCAGAGTTCAAGCCCCATGACTGACCAAAAAAATAATAATAAAATAAAAAATTCTATGTGTTTGTGTTCTGGTCCCCTCCCCTTTTTTTTTTTTGCAGTATTAGAACTTGAACCCAGGACCTCACATTTGCTAGGCATGTGCAAGTTCTCTCTAACTTAGGCCATGCTCTGAGTCCCCCTCCCCTTTTTTAATAGATTCTCATATTTTTGCCTGAGGCTGGCATTGGACATGATCTTTCTATCTAGGCTTCCTGGGTACCTAGGGTGGCATGCATATGCCTGGTTTGTTGCTTGAGATCGAATCTCACTTTTTCTCCAGGTTAGACTCACATTTCAATCCTCCAGATTTCTGCCTCTGAGTAACTGGGATTACAAACCTGAGCCACTGCATCTAACCCTTCAAGATTCTTCTTTTTGTTTTGCTTTTACCAGTCTTGGGGCTTGAACTCAGGGCCTGGGCACTGTCCCTGAGCTTTTTTGCTCCCACTCTACCATTTGAGCCACAGTGCCAATTCTAGTTTTTTCTGTTTTTGTGCTACTGAGGAACCCAGGGTTTCATGCATGCTAGGCAAGCATTCTACCACTAAACCACATTCCCAGCCCTCCTTCAAGGTTCTTTTTTTTTTTTTTTTTTTTTGGGGGGGGGGGTCCAGTCATGGGGCTTGAACTCTGGGCCTGGGCGCTGTCCCTCAGCTCTTCAGCTCAAGGCTAGCGCTCTACCACGAGCCACAGCACCACTTCCGGCTTTTTTCTTTTTTCTTATGTGGTGCTGAGGAATCGAACCCAGGGCCTCATGCATGCAAGGCAAGCGCTCTACCACTGAGCCACCTTCCCAGCCCCATCCTTCAAGGTTCTTAAGCAACTTATTCCAAAAGATGGGAACAACTGTAATGTCCATGCATGGGGGCCGGTAAGATCAGTCAAAACATGATTTCTTCTCCTCCTCCTCCTCCTCCTCCTCCTCCTCCTCCTCCTCCTCCTCCTCCTCCTCCTCCTCCTCCTCCTCCTCCTCCTCCTCCTCCTCCTCTTCTTCTTCTTCTTCTTCTTCTTCTTCTTCTCCTTCTCCTCCTCCTCCTCCTTATCCCTCCTCCTCCTCCTCCTCTTCTTCTTCTTATCTTCCTGCTCTTTCTCCTCCTTCCCTTTCATCCATCTTCCCTTCCCTCCCTCCCTCCCTCCCTCCCTTCCTCCTTCCCTTCCTTCCCTTCCTTCCTTTCCTTCCCTCCCTCCCTCCCTCCCTCCCTTCCTTCCTTCCTTCCTTCCTTCCTCCCTGCCTCCCTTCTTCTCTCTTGTTTTTTGTGCCTGTTTTGGGCTTGAACTCAGGGCCAGAGTACTATTTCTTATCATTTTCACTCAAGGCTAGCACTCTACCACCTGAGCCACAGTTCCACTTCCACTTTTTTGCTGGTTAAATGAAGATAAGAGTTTCATGGACTTTCATGACTTTGAACCATGATCCTCAGATTTCAGCCTCCTGAGCAGTTAGGATTACAGGTATGAACCGCCAGTACCCAGCTTATGACATGATTTTTTAAAATTTATTGTTATAAAGTTGATGCACAGAGGAGTTACAGTTACATAAGTCAGATAATGAGTACATTTCTTTTTGGACAAATGACATGATTTCTTACAGTGAGATAGTATGTAGCCATGAAAAGGGAGGCTTTTCTGTTCCCAAACTCATCTTCACGTGTAAAGGTGAGATTAGGAGCAACTCATGTGGCGTGGCTCAGTGGTAGAGTGCTTGCCCAGCATGCATGAAGCCCTGGGTTCCATTCCTCAGTACCACGTACACAGAAAAGAAAATAAAGCAGAAGTGGCGCTGTGGCTCAAGTGGTAGAGCGCTAGCCTTGAGCTGAAGAGCTGAGGGATAATAGAGGTGTGGCTCAAGGGGTAAGAGTGCCAGCCTTGAGCAGAAAAGCCAACTGAGAGTTCAAGCCCCACCTAGTATTGGTACCAAAACAAAAGAAAAAGAAAGAGAAAACCTGGAAGGAAGAGGAAATAAGACAGATGTGAGGTTTCTATGGGAAGTCAGCCAACCAGGGTTTATTTGTGGATCATCAGGTAGAAGGAGGGAGGGATCTGCGATCTGAGAAGGGTGTTAGATTTCTGTGTTGAGCAGAGCATCTAGAAAAAAACGATGGTTGCTTTCTGTGTGGGTGACAGTCCTGGGGCTTGAACTCAGGGCTGGGTGCTGTCCCTTATAGCATTTTTGTTCATGGCTAACACTCTACCACTTGAGCCACACCTCCATTTCCAGCTTTCTGGTGGTTCATCGGAGATAGACTCATGGACTTTGCTGCCAGAATTGGTTTTGAACCACGATTCTTAAGTCTCAGCCTTCTAAGTAGCTAGGATTATAGGTGCAAACCACCATCAGCACCCAGCTACATTTTTTTAATTGAAAAGACAAGACAGGGAGCAAGTGTGGAGTAGGAATCACGAGTGTCAAGTTGGATCTGTTGCGTTTGAGATGTTTTTTGGATACCCAAAGACACGGAGCAGGAAGCTGGATACAGGAGTCTGGAGCTCAAAGGAGAGGTCTGGGCTGGAAATATACATTTGTGAGTCACCAGCATATAGATGATATTTAAAGCCATGAAGCTGGGATGAGATCACCTAGGGAGATGTAGCTAGAGAAGACCCAAGCAAGGCTGAGCTGGCAA